TATCGAAACCTTTATAACTCCCGTAGAAAATGCTCCGTTCATCAGGGGAAGATCGCTCTTCCCCTAGGAGCAGATATTCCAATATGGCGGGCAGACCTTTCGGGGATTGAAGTGTCTAGACGTCTGACCAAATATGCGCGTTTCCCCTGGAGCTATCGGGGACCGAACATCTGACGAGGCATCGAGAAAAATCAATGCGAATCGATCGGATCTTCAAACACCTTTTATTTCAGTCCTCCACGCCACGTCTGCATTTTTAGCCATTGATTAAGAGGATGTCGTATAATAAAAGCTATCGGATTAAGTTTCAAATTTACGATTTACGCGAAATAAGCTTCCGGGGTATTTGCAGACGACTAAGGTGTTAATAAGTTATCAATTGAACGGGTTGAGGTGTGATTGATTTCTCCGAGAGAAGGGTCGGAGAGTAATTTAAATCGCCACAGCGAACCAGGGGAAAACAAGAGAGAGAGACGGAGGGATGCGAAACCCCATCGCACGTATTCGGGAATAAATACCGATCGACGCGAAATTTGAATTTCCTTTCCCAATCTCGCGCCCCGTCGCGATTATTAGAATTGGAGGGCCTTCGATTACCGATCGAAGCACAAGAGGGTGCATACGAACGATTGCTACCCTCAACCCGAAATAAAATCAACGGTGAAAACACCGGGAATATTCAAAACGCGCTTTAGAAGCGGCGCCATGCAATTCGACGGTGCCTGGAATACAACGAACATTTCACCGGGGTAAAAAAAAAATCGGGAAGATAAACACCATCAGGGATACTGCAAATACCCGCCGCGTATAAAAGGTTACGCATAATATTGACGGGGGATAAAAAAGGAAATAAATCGCGGAAGAGCGTCGGCCATCGAAAACATACCTCGAGGCCGATGCTCGTTTTCGGCCGGTTTTGGCTCGTGTCAAGGATACGCCAAACCGGGGATTCGCCTCCACTTTTCCGTTTTACCGGGACAATGTAACGAGCTTAAGGCTCGTTTCATCCCAACGCGACGTCGAGCCGCAGATTAATTTTTAATCGCGTTCCGCAGCTCGCGGCTCTCGTATCGAACGAGCAACGAGGTCTCTTCGAGGTCTCCGAGGCGAATCGGACTTGAACTCTTTCCACCAGGAACAGCCGGCCGATCTCACGATGCACATACTGCTGCATACCGATGCACGGAATGATGTGCATCGCGGGATAATACCGCGTACCGAGACGCGGTGGTGCATATTGCACTCTGCTACCTCTTACGCGCTGATGCGATCTGTGCGTTCTCTCTGTACCTACGGATGTACCGACATGCAGGCGCACGTGCACGCGTGAACTTACGAGAGCCACTCCAAGTAATGGGAATCAATACACCCTTCGAGGCCGAAAAACGACGAGCCTGATTGCGAGCAATTCGACGTACTCCAAAATGACGTTTCCAGATCGGGAAGAAAAGCCCTCAGACGAATTGTCAGTACGGATAAATAAATTAAGGGACAATTATGACACGCCTAATTATTTACAGGGAGGTAATCAATTCACACGCGTGACGTGATTTCTATGTTCACGTTTTGCTCGAGGGTTGCAGAAATTAAGTGAAGGGGTGTGCAATATTTTGCCGGTTCCTTCACCTTGATGGGGTTGCTGATTTCTCGAGGGTTGTTTGCTTTGCGACTTTTCTTCTCTTTTTTTCCTTTTTAAATGCGGAATAACTTTTCTCGGGAATTCAATTTAATTCGGGGGTTCGATTGGGAGGAAGAAATACCACGGGGATAAATTCGTTATGTAATGAGTTCCTTTCAGGGGTTCTTTTCTCGCCATGTATTACAAGCTAAAGGCGCTAGCAAGGTCGACCCTCGCGAATTGCTGGCTTTAACTTCACGAGCGTGAAATCGCGACCCCGTGAAGGAAAAAAACCCTCTTGACGCGAGCACACGAGTATGCACTCAGGCAGTCACGACACGTAATCGCGCGAAATCGCTTTAAAGGCTCGTATTAGCGAGCGCTGATATTTGCTACTTGTGCTGCGAACCCGAAAGCAGTACCCCATGGGCACCCCTAAGGGTGCTCGTGTAATACCTACTCCGAGATGGGCCCGAAGGGTGGCTTGAATCGATCTTCGGATCCGATCTTTCCAAATTCAATCTTCTCGATCTAAGATCTTCGCTGATCTAGCGACGCGATCGCTACTTGCGGAAAATGAGGAAGCTTCAGGATGCGTTTAATTTTGCAATTAAGGTACGCAAAGTGAAACGATAACCCGTGGTTGATACACGGAATGGGACGTTTTATCGCGATAAAGGCTGGCTAGTACGATAATTAGTAAAGCTTCGTCGTAAGGTGCTCGATAAATTGATGGAACAGGCGAGGCACTCGATTACCGATGCACCGATATCGCTCCTCGATCTTGGGCCTTAAATCCGAAATCCGGGCCTCGCTATCCCGTAACTTCTTTAAAGAAGTAGTTTCACCACGAGGTAGCTTAAAGTTGAGCCTCGGTTAACTTCGAAGCTGGTCGTTCACCGACTAAGTCTCACGGCCGTTACTTAGCGAGCTCCGAAGTTACTCCGCGACTTTAAAGCCCACTCGGTGAGACGGTGCTTCGCTCGATTTTGCACCCCGATCGTTTCGAGGGTGTCGAACAGCTCCGAGTTGTCCTGGACTATTTGAAACTGTTAATTCGTAGTGGTCCCAATGGGTAAAGAGCCTCCAGAACTTCGCCGGACATTCCTAGGGTACGAAAGCGTGCGGATAATTGCGATCTCTTTAGCGCTTAAGGGTCGTCGCTAGACTTTGAGCTTGAAAGTAAGACTCGGCGAGTTCTGCGGTATCGTAATTGGAAGAATTAAATTAAAAAAATCGACTCCATAACGCGATTTAACATTTGTCCATTTAATCAAGCCCTGCGTCCTTTACCTAGCGAGCTATGAAATTACTGGACGACGATGTTGTAATTAAAGAAAAAAAGAAAAAAAAAAAGAATGGACTTTATAAGGCGGCAGATTGAGGTTTATTGAGATTTCATCGATTTTGCCCGATTTCTTTGAGGGGTAGCGAACCGTTCCAGGGTGTCCAGGATTACTCGGGACCGATAATTCGTGGCGGTCCCGCGGGTAAAGAGACTCCAAAAGTTCGGCTCGACGTCCCTCGCCAACCTTGACTCTGAAAGTGCGCAAGTGCGCGAATGCGTGCCTTAACTCGGTACCATCGGTGTTCTACCCGGTTCTCCTCGACTCTAGTGGTAGAAGTAGGCAGAGGAAGTGCTTTCGGGGCCCGAGGGCCAAAGGCGCCGACTTTCGGTGTCGCGACGAGCCCGAGCCGGAAAGTCGCCTGCCGTTTCGCATAGTTTTCCGCAAAACTCGCCGGTAAGGGAAGCCTTCAATGGCCGCGTTTCTTCCCGTGTACTCTTACGAGTGGACAAGTGGCCCTGGAATTTTATATCACAGAGACGGGCCCTTTATTTCGGTAAAAACGCACTCGGGGAAGGACGTCGAGCCCATCGGGAGGCTTCCCATTTTGTAAAGGGCTGCCGCGGTTCGGCAGAATTTCCTCTTTAAGGGCTCTTAAGTGCACTCGCGGCTGCCTTAACCTCGTTTGAAAGGGGCGCGTCGATCCTTCCCTGATAAACCGAAGAATTTCCGAGCCGCGAAGAGGCCCCTGGTGTGGCGGTCTCCCCGATGGGGACCTCGGCTACAGGATGGGAAACTCGGCGAACGCGATGGGTAACTCGAAGGGGACCTTCGGATTGAAATTTCATATTTGATAGGCCGGAGCGCGGTTAGCTCGATCTACCGCAACCCTGTAAAATCCTGGCCCCTTAAATTTACACGCCACTGGGATATGTTATACTCGCCTTAATTGTGATACTCTAGGCGTGACATTTCCTCCCGCGTGCTTTTCGAGGGACCAGCGCCACTTATCTTTGATTCAGCATTAAAACAGCACGTCCGAAAAATCTACTCGGCGCGGGTCTCCGACCCCATTGGGGGGTTTTTTCTTTAAGGGCTTGTCACGCCCCGAGACAATTTCGCCTTTAAGCGCCCTTAGGTACACTCAGCTCGGCCTCAAACTCATTTAAAATAGGCGTGCCTTTTCACTCCCCGGCGAGTAGAGGAATTCTTTGGCCACGAAGAGGCCCCGAGCGTGGGTGGTCTTCCTCGGTATCGGAGAATTCGGAGGAGCCCACAGATTGAATTTTCATATTTGATGGACCGCCGCGTATGGGCTCGAACAAAGTGCGACAAAAACGGGGATACCTCGGCCGGAGGGGTCGTTCTTTGTCTGGGAAGATTGCTAGCAAATGTCAATGGTACCCATATTTCGCGAAGGTACATTATTCACGTCCTTCGTATTCGTCGAAATATGCTATTTTAATTAATTTAGGTACCTCTCGGAATTTCTGTTTCCCGGGGTTCGACTGCCGATAATTCCCAGATTTCGTAATTTACGACTGCAGGGCAATTATGCAATTTTCTACATCTTTAAGGGACCTTTACGGTCGAGATGTGCCGATTTAAGGGGATGCGAAAGGGTCATTTTATATATATAATTATATATACATGGCATGACATGACATAAAAAATGTTCAGAATGCCTATGAAGGAATTAAAAAAAAAAGATTGAAATCTCATGGGTGACCGGACCTTCCTTAAAGCCTCCATATTCATGTTTTATGGTTTCAAACGATTCGGTATCCCTGGTTCGGGTAAAAATTTCATAAACGAGACCTCTTTGATGCCACTTTCATGTCACCTTAATACCCTTGTCTGATCTAGGATTCGAAAATCCCTTTGAGTCCGGTCTCGTGATTACTTAGAGTGCCTTCTTGGGTGAACAGGCCACGAAGAAGATGTCGAGGTTCCTGGAGGATTCCAGCCCACCGGGCCTGGGCTTTTCAGCCGCTTATCACGAGCCTCGGCGCAATGGTCATCCTCGGGCTTGACCAGCGGCTCCCCGGTGTTAACAGAGAGAGAAAGAGAGACGACCACTCGATCTCCCGACTCGACGAGAGATGAGCGATCTACAAGCCACCCTCGAGTTCTCTCTCGAGCTCTGCAAGTTCTACAATGTCGATCTCTTTCAGCGAGGGTGAGTAAGCCGCTCTCCTTTCGACGTGGATTTGAAGAGCGAAGTACGTGCCATTTTGATCATTTTATTTACCCCTCGATGTGCCCTCGCTTCTAATAGGTTTTATTTTTTACCGGCGTATCAGCTGGGAGGAAGGGAGGCACTCGTCGCTCTAACTCCTCGGAAATTAACGCGGGGATGGCTTTGCGTATATTTTAAAAGTTATTCTTCGAAGGACCCCGAAATTCCCACGGCTTGGAATCTCGGGGAATCTGGCGGAACGATTATTAAAATCCTTCTCAGCCTCTTAACCGCTCGCGTCGTCATTGATTTCAGGTACTATCAAATTCGCACGGCCCTCAGGGTGTCGCCGAAGCTTCCGGTCAAGGTTGAAGTCAACCAGATGCGCAACCGTGAGTCCAATTTTATCCTCAAAGGGTCACATCTCTCGGATTTCCAGATATTAATTCGGGGGGTTGCACGATTTCGACTTCTCGAATTCATTTCTTTTTTTTTTTTTTTTTCATTCTGACAATTTCTACAGTTTTACGCTTTTCACGTTCCCGATGCAAGTCCTTCTTCCTCCTCCTTATAAAAAGTGCGGTCGATCTGGTAATCTGGATCGGATAGAAATTCACCACGAAGCTAGAGATTGTTTTTTTTTTTTTTCAAATTTATCGCAAATTTATCCGGAGGTACGGCGGTGTCATCTCGTATGCACCAGATATTATACTTTATAGCCGTTAAAACGACCACGTTGGTTCTAGCTAGGTTTACTCGAGCTAAATATACTTCGACCAGTAATGGGTGTATCTATTCGGTCCTCGGGTTCGCGTATGAAGAGTTAACCTGGGTTGACTGACTCGATAACACGGTTGCTCTATCTGACATCGATTAGGCCCACTTATCCAGGCGTATCATTATTCCCGGAGTAAATTCTAAATATCCAGCGAGAAGAGGTAAACGCAACAAGCCCTATGAAATAAACTTAAATCGCCATTGTCAATTCGATTGTCCATTTTTCACGGATTTTGGCCCCGCACCCACGGGACGGGGTCCGCTAGATTAAACCATTAACCGTAGGTTAAACTTATCAAAGGGGGAGCAATCGGTTTTATTAAATCACTGGCCGTGCGGACAGATCGCAGCCTCCGATGCAGATCATTTTTTAAATGCCGCCCCAGTTCTACGTAGGCCTGGTCAAGCTAAATATAATTCTCCTTGGGTTTACTCTTGGTTTATTTACTCACGAGTTTTCGCGGGATCCACTCGCCGAGCTGGACTCTGGTTCCTCTTCTAATTTGCAGAGCGATGTTCCCGGTGGAAAATTAATCAACCCTGGTGGGGTATTTATCAGGCTCGATGAGACAGGTGCGATGCTCCATCCTCTCGAGTATCTCCCGATGGATGGAAGTCAAAGTATCGGGGAAAAGAGATACAAAAAATAAACAATGCGTAGGAATAATCGAAACCTCTGTATTAAAGATATAATTAACACGTAGGATTAATCACCCCTCGTGGTTCTTACGTGACGCGATCGCTTATGATTTCCTTCGGCACAGTTTGACTTTTCATTTATGCCACTTTTTCTTATTTCACACTAAGTGTCAATAAATATAATTATTTCTGATAGAGTATAGTATGACAAGGATTTTTAATGGATAGCAACTTTGAGGCTTTTATTTATTCTCCGTGTATGGTATAATTCTGCACCGGATCGATCGACTATTGACTGATCGGGCCTTTGTTTCCAGACTCGTTGGAGGCTCCAGGGACGAGCAAGCGTTTCCAGATCCTGTACCGCAACGAGGAGGTAACCCTGGGGACGTCGGTCCTGTTCCGGGCGCACGTCCTGGTGCACAGTCACAAGATCGAGGAGGCCCTCTCGCGTACGCACTTCAACCTGGGGGTCGAGCTCTGGTTCAGCGAGCCCACGCAGCCGGGGAACATGGCTTGCGTGTCGTCGAGGTAACGCTCTAATTAGTCGGCCCGGTCTCCTCGGGGAAGATCGTTACGGCCGTCTAACCCGGCTAACGGGGGGATCGATCTCTCACGGCCGTTCGGTCCATTGTCTTCCTCCAGAGCGCTGCAGCTCAACTTCACACCCACGAAGGGCCTTCACTATCACTTGCCGGTGCTCTTCGATTACTTCCACCTCGCCGCGGTATCCATCACCATCCACGCCTGCCTGGTGGCTCTTCACCAGCCCTACATCAAGTCGGTGTCGATGAGTATGACCGAGGGGGAGAAATATTTACGGATATTAGCCGATAACCGCTCTTGCCCCCCCCCCCACGAGATATCCCGGCACGTGTTGGAAGAGGTGCACCCGAGATGCAAGAAACAATACGAGCCTACTCTGACACCTGTAAAGGGAGGGATCTCCCGAACCCACGTGTCGTGTCGCGAGGCGACTTGGCGGAATCGGTCGAGTCAGTCTGGACCTTCTATTATCAGTTTAGACCTTCTATTATCAGTCTGGACCTTCTATTTACTCTAAGGGCCCGTTGCCCCGACATTTGAAATAGAATCCTTAAGGTGATAAGGAAGTGGTGTTAAACAAGTCGGAGAACGGTACCGATGACAAGTTTTACCAATTACCCATCCCGAATGTACAGATTGTAAAGAAGGTACTCCTGAAATTGCAATTTTAAGAAAATTTCTTTATGGGATTAGGGATTAATTCATTAGAGTCGATCACCCAATTTTCGAGATTAATTAATTATTGTGATATTTTGCGTTAATCCCGGTTCGTGCAACCGGTCCTAAATGTTGCTAGGCTAGTACTAGCAGTAAGAGCGGTTAAGGGAATTTTACGCCGTTTAAATTTATGCAAAATAATGCGTTTAGAGTCGCATTATGGCGGGTTACGTCGTTTAACGACACGACACGTGGGCCCATGGCTTAATACTCGTTACCGGGTCGTGTCGGATAAGTAAGCCGAGGTTTCTCCGGCATCGATTGCGGGGTGAGAATTACGAGCGAGAGAGCACGTGTGCAAGTGATCACCGCGATATGCATTGACGATGTCGGAGATGTTCAAGTTGCGGTACTTTGCCTTAATGCAATTGCGGGTAATTGCCGCTTTTTGCAGGTACCACTGGGCTCGGGAAGCGAGGGGTCGATGTTTATCGACGTGGCCGATGGCAGGGTTTGTAATCGCGGTAATGGGAACGCTTTATCATTTTTATTCTTTTTTATTCCCCCCCGATGTAGAGCCGTCGACGTAATTTTAGTTAGTTAGTTTCTTGACACGCCGGTCGGGGGTATTTTCCGCGTCACTCGCGATTACCTTAAATAACTTTAACGCGGGTGTAATGTTAATTTTATAAATTGGCGTAATTACCGGCACGCCACACGTCGGCCGGATAAATATTACTTTACTTTGCGCCCTGCCGTCAGGGGAAACGAATCGCTGTTAATGTACACTGGGTCAGTGACACAGTGGGAAATTAGTCGGTTAATACCGGGAGACCAGGCAGGAATTAGATTAAAGGAACAGGAAACTTCTGGGTGTATTTATGGACGCGATGTGGTCACATTAATGGCTCTATGGGGGTTCACGGCACGGCAGCAGGGTCGCTTTTAATTTGATTATATGATATCGGACTGGTACATACTGTTTTTTTTTTTAATTTTCTTTTTCAACCAAAGTACCCCTTCAACTACGTTACCAAATTAATAATGACGAAAAAACCTAAATATTTCTCTCCCCTCTCGTGAGCTTCCTCTCGTCTCTCCGAACCCATTACCATGAAATATCGTTCTCGTTTCATGCCGGGATAGGAAGAGCATCCTGCACTACGTACAGAGTTGGTGAGTGGGCCGATAAATTAGTTTCCAACTTGTACCATCAGCTTCAATCCCTTAATCACGTTTCGTTCTCCTTTTTCCATCGCAGCGCCCCACGAGGAGGGAAGCCTTGGCTGCAGGTGAAGCAGCCATCGGCGAACGGAGATAGCAGCGTCCTCTTCGGGAACATCGTACGTATTTTTATCTTTTGCAGCATTATCTTTCAGCTATCCGGCGCACCGAAACGGCACCATTTATACGGATTTACCGACGAGTCGGATTTCCCGCAGGAGAGCACGACGCGATGCGTCGGCTCGGCGACGAGGATGCAACACGCGAGATTGGTCCAGCAAGAAGTGACGAGGCTACTTTTAGCAGCTCGCGAATCGCTGCTGACCGATTTGGCGGACCTGGCTCGACTTCTTCCCCCATGGCAGCAAAGGGCCCTCGAACTTGCCCAGAACACTCACAAAGAAGTAACGAAGGTTCGTCCGACCCTGAAAAAACTTGGCGGGTCCTCGGAAATATCGTTTGGACAGGGAGGAGGGAAAGAGAATCACGCGGATGTCTACGGATGGTGGCTAAACGGAAACGTATTGCAGATGATCAACACCGAGGAGGCGGATATAGCTCAGCTGTGTGCCCAGAATATCGTCCTTTGGCAGCATTTTTTGGAAGCCTTCTCCGGGCGCGAGGTCGTTCACCAGCACTTGGCTCGGATACATCACCAGCTTAGGGTATGGAGTCGATGACGATTTTGGATGTTGGAGAGGGTAGCGATTCCTTTTGAACGACATCCGTTCACCAGGTGAAGAGGTTCGCGGAGGGCTTCTTCGTCCTGGAGAACCCCAGATCCTCGGCAGCCGGGTGCTACGACGCCAACTATCAATCCTACCAAGCAGTCAGCGAAGCCGTAAGGAGATCTCGCTACTTGGCGTCCCTGCCTCCGTTGCCGGTCCATTGTCCAGAGCTGGACGGAGACCTCCACTCGTTGCCGCTGATCTTCGAGGACCAATACGCGAACATGCAGCAGCGACACAGAAACAGCAGTAAGGCCCAGCGACCTGGCAAGACCCCTAACCCCTCGTTCCCCCAAGACCCCGAGGAGATCCAAGAGCCGCGACCAAGTTCGATTCCAAGCAAGCGATTCTCATCGGGCCCAAACCTAGCCCCGACGAGAGTCCGATAAACCGTTTCTCTAGAGGATTTCTCGACAGTCCCCAGCATGGACGACTGCAGCTGCGGGATCTCGGCGATCCTGGAGTCCCGGGCGATGGGTGTCTGGTCCCCAAGGAGCGAAGGTGCCTGCCAGGACCTGGGATCCATCCAAGGCCGGCTGATGTTGGCTCCCTCGGCGCTCCCGGCCAGACACAGCAAGTCCCTGGACCAGCTGGGCCCGGACCTGGTGCCTCTCCAGCCCAGGACTTCCCCGAAGACTCTGCCGAGGTCGGCGTCGACTCAGCTCTTTCCCAGGCAGAGAGGTGGATCTCGTAACGTGACACCACCGGCCACTGTTCCTTCTAGAGGTCGCACGAGATCGACAGTACCGTCCAGCTCCTCTCTATTTCCTGGCACGGGTCAGCAAGCCTGCTCGGCACCGAACCCATCCCTGAGCTCGACCCCCGTAGTCACCCTGCCCAGGGCCAAGTCTACGCAGATGCTCGTGCCTCGGTCCTGTCGAGACCACGTCGAGCGCGAGTCGACGTCCATCACGTCCCTGCTCGCTGCCATGTTCCCCGAATTGCCACCGAGCGGTCACTTCCCCGGCTACCGACCCTCCTCCAAGTCCCGCGATCAGAGTCTGACAGTACCGTCGTGCTTGGACCTGGCTCAGTTGGCGGGTTGCTTGAATTCCGAGAGCAGAGCTGCCAGTATTCTGGCCGAAGGTACTCGAAGTCAACGATCGGCCCCCATGCGCGGAGTCCCAGGCTCCCAGGGCGTTCCCGACCGTTCAACCACCTCTGCTTCCAGGTACCCACTCTCTGGACACCAGGAGGATCAGGCTGGAGCCTAGGAGCCACAGATTGGCGCCTCGACAGCCACTCGCCCCGGCCAAGACCGACCAGACCAACTACCTTGGCAAGGGCACCGCCAACGGAGGAGGGTTCCCTGCTGACCAGCAAGTGCGACACACGGCCACCCTCGACAGGGCCACGTACAGGGCGAATGCCAGGAAGTACGGCAATCAGTCCGGCGGTAAGTATCACACGAATAGCCTGGAGTCCCGTCGATTCCACACGACGGGGAGGACATCGACCCAGGACCAAAGGAGCAGGGAGACCAAGGAACCGAACGGCACCCTGCCGGCGAACAGACACGCGCTGCTGCTGGACCCGTTCAATAAGAGGTCCGGGGTCACCATCGACTCCTTCCTCTACAGGACCAATGGCACCAGCGGAAGGACCCAGGACAGCGAGGACAGGATAGAAGTGGACGCTCCGAAGAGGCCGAAAAGTACCGACAGACTCTCTGAAGCGAGCGACAGGAAAGATTGCTGCGAGTCTTACCGCGATAGGAGAAGGGACGAGGACAGGCGGAGCAAAGCTTCCAAGATAGAGATCCCGGATTACGGGGATAAGTATGGCAAGGCCCATGGGGAGAAAAGGGCCATGGAGGCGGAACCACTCTACGAGATAATCGCCCTTAAGGTCGAGGCGGAACAGAGAACCGAGAGGCGGAAGGGCAGGCACGGGAGGAGACCTCACTCGGCTCCAGCTATGGAAGCTGAGAGGCCCAAGGAGGACGTCAAGAAGTGTGCCCATCTGCCCAGGAAGCCGGCTCCTCCACCTCCGGCGTATCAGGACCAGGGTTGGGTAGGTAGAAAACCATGATGTACCATAGAACTCTTACGTTTTACGTGGTCGTTTCCACGTTTTTGGATCGATTTTGTGCAAGGACCTTGGTAATAAGATAATGAGACGTTCATGAAAATTCCCAGGACCCTGCCACGGCTCCGCTGCCCAAGGTTCGCCATCCGCCACCGCCCATGACCAACGTCCTCGAGGTGGAGAACAACAATAAGATAATCCTCAAAGTCGAGCCCATCAAATCTCCCATGGAGCCCTGTGCGACGACCAATGGGGCAGCGACCAATGGAGTGACTCCCGTCTCGGACACGTCAAGTGGAATCGTTCCACCTCCTGGGGCGAAAAGGCTGAGGTGCGCCAGCGTACCAGTCGCCCAGAACAAGGTCGTGGTTCCTAGGAGTGCGGTGTCCTTGCCTTGCATGCCCATCCGCGACAGCAAAGACAGTCTCACCACCAATTTGTCCATCCTCCCGACCCCTCTGAGTCCACCATCCTCCAGACCCAGCAGTCCAGCTACCAGCTCCAGCTCCAGCAACCTGACCTCCGAATGCTCCGGCTGGGTAAGCAGTGGAGACACCTCCAGCTCGGAACAGCGGAAAGCGAAACTGTCCAGCGAGCAACTGCGGCAAAAGCTGTCTAAAATCGTCCCCAAGAAGGAGAGGCCCGACAAGGAGAACCTCCTGGAGCACTCCTACGAGGAGGTTCGTCTACCTCCTCCGAAGATGTTCCAGGACGAGCCGCCACCCCCTGAGGAGTTTCGAGACCCTCCCGCGCCCATTGATAACCCTCTCTACCACGTCTACGAGACCGTCAAGAGAACCAGGAGTCCGAAACGCAACAAAACTGCTCCTTGCAGTCCCCAGAGGAGCAAGGACCGCGACAAGGACAGGGATAGCGCCTTCGGGGGCAGGGATATCTGCCTGGACTGCTACCAGGAGGGGAAGGAGTTGCTCCAGTCGACTCAGGACGAAGTGATCAATTTTAAAAAATGCAAGGAGGAGTTCAAGCGTCAGCTCAGCTTCCCTGGGAAGATTTACAGGTGAGATTGGGCGCTTTCCTGCTGGAGGGCAAAGAGGGACGAGAAAGGCCTTGGTAATACCCTTCCACTTTGCAGTATTTTTCGTTCACCTTGGTTATTTGAATTTTTAAGCGGCATTTTAACTTTTCTCAATATTACAGAAATATAAATTTAATCCCGATCTTTATTTATTTTTCTTGGTGAGGTTGACCTGATTTTATATCATATATTAAATTATAATTTCTATTACACGGTATTCTTAAGTTATCCTCGTTTCCGCGGCTTTTAATGGGTTTACGTTATTCTTAAGTTCTTTTCGTTTCTTCCTCCCATCAGACAGCGTAAGGAATCGCGTTTGCGTTTCCTTAAGCGCACCCGCTCCCTTGGCAGCGGAGACCTTCCGACCCCGTCGTCGGTCGGTCCTCTAAGATACCCTGTGCCTCGTAGTGACTACCCGACGCTGGCCTCGACCTTGCCATACTTCCACATCAGTGACGAATATCGACTCTTCTCCCCGGAAGGTGCGCATCTCATTATTTGCGTTCACGGCCTCGACGGAAACGCCGCGGACCTGCGCCTTGTCAAGACTTATCTGGAGCTGGGGCTTCCGGGGGCTCACCTGGACTTCTTGATGTCGGAGAGAAATCAGGTGGGTTGATTATCAATTTTTCTATATTTATAGATGAGAGGTAGAAATAAGAGTAAGCGATCAAAATGGTATTCATCTCCTATACCGAGAGGATAGCCCTGTGGAGTAATTATCCAGTCCTGTGACATGTCATTGACATGTTAGAGGGGGTTAAAGCTAATCGGGTCCGTTGATATCAAGGGTGACACCTTCTCCGACTTCGACACGATGACCGACCGGCTGGTGGCGGAGATCCTGCACCACATCGAGACTTCCGGGCTGAATCCGACCAAGGTCAGCTTCATCGGACATTCCTTGGGGACCATCATCATCCGCAGCGCTTTGACGCGACCTCAGCTGCGTCCTCTTCTGCCTCGTCTGCACACGTTCCTCAGCCTCAGCGGGCCTCACCTGGGAACCCTCTACAATACCAGCGGCTTGGTGAACGCCGGTAAGTTAAGTGTCAGGTGAAAAGTCAAGTATCAAGACCCGTCTCTTCGTCGTAAACTGGAGGTTAAACGTACCTAACGCTTTCCAGGCATGTGGTTCATGCAGAAGTGGAAAAAGTCCGGGTCCCTACTGCAGCTCGCGATGAAGGACTCGTCGGACGTCAGGAGGTCCTTCATGTTCCGGCTCAGCCAGAAGAGCAACCTGCAGAATTTCCGCCACGTCCTGCTTTGCGGCAGTGCCCAGGATCGCTACGTACCTCTTCACTCGGCTCGCATCGAGCTCTGCAAGGCCGCTGTGAGGGATCTCTCGGACCAAGGTAACCCTAACCGAGTCCAACCTCGGCATCCTCTTCATCGTGTTTTCCATACGAGATGTAAGACAATCGGTTCTCAAAGAAGAAAGTCGGTTTCACTGATTAGCCCTTCGGCCCATACCTTGTCGTGACGTTGTCCCGTTGTTAATCAACCGATACCCTCCGAAACGTTCTGATACATTTTCCCCCAGGTGCGGCATATCGAGAGATGGTGAACAATATATTGTACCCGGTGATGTCAGCCTCAGGGGTGAGTCTGGTCAGGTACGACGTTCACCACGCCCTGCCGCCAACGGCGAACGCTCTGATCGGCCGGGCCGCGCACATCGCCGTCCTCGACTCCGAGCTCTTCATCGAGAAGTTCCTTTTGGTGACAGGCCTCAAGTACTTTAGATAAGGGACGTGATTTCCCTCAGTCGGGACGAGTCGCCCCGGTGTGTGCCTCCGATTCGATTTCGACGGCTGGTCCGATCGAGCCGGGAGATCGCGCCTTGGAGATGCCGAAGACGTCGGGCCCGGACCCGAAGAGGGGACCGGAGGCTCCGAATTTCCGAAGACCCTCGCCTCGGAGACCGAACCCGCGACCTTGCAGAGGAAACCCGCTCAATTCTCAACTAGTGTTGTCTACTTCGTTAAGTGATCGCCCTGACCGATTCGGAGCGACCGCGATGTGGCGTCCGTAGGGTAGCGAGAAGATCCTCCGGAGGCGCAGCATCCTGGGTCCTTGGCGGATGTCCTTGCGATCCTTCGACTCAAGAGTGACCCCGAAGGGGACTCTTCCCCCAGGACTGGTCAACCCTCCGATTTCCCGATACTTTCTCGGAGAAAAGGAAGCTTCTCCCGAGGGGAAAATCCTATCCCGATACAGAGGCATCCGCGTTATCGACAGTTCCTTTTATCTGACTAGATAACATCATAGGACATCGTGATATCCTGTAAACCTGGCGAAAGGTCTCTCGAGGGTCTTCAAGAGGCTGTTATAGTTAATTAAGTAGTTGAATTTCCTTTTCTTTTTTTTTTTAATGAGAGAGAGAGAAACTCCCAGTTTTGGGTAGCGTCATGGATTTGAATTGTGCCGGTTGTTCGGCATCTTCCTCGCGGTAGGTCTTTGATGGCGACTCCTCTGGTTTATGCTGCGACTCCGGGATATCCTCTCGGGCTAGTGGGTATGGATAAGTGCGAGGACATTAAAACGAACTCTCCGGCCCGCGTATGACGCGACGAAATTCGCTGAATCGAAGCGTGAGACTTTTCTAAGATCCGTTTATGGCGGCGCGAGGCGAGGCCGTCGTTAAACGACCCTCGACCACTCGGCCCGCTGTCGTCACGTGCACATTTACGCTTTTTATCGCACATTATTGTTCAACGATTTGTCCACTTTTTTCTACACTTTATTCGGGAAACTCGTGCCGTGCGTACGCGCGCAAGGGGCCTATTTCCGTTGTTCGAGTCTCTTAAGGCGATATGAAAGGGTCATTCTATACTTATACATATATGTACATATATAAACGTAAAAATATTTATTAACTTTTTGCCAAACTGGGTGCACCGAATCATTCAAACCTTCGGCACGTGATTATTGGACGCCCTAAGGAAGAACGCGACGGTCGTGAAATTTCAGTGTTCAATAAAAAATTCTTTCATCTATCCCAGACTGGAACCAAAGACGCGTATATTGTCTTTGAACTTGACATTTCACGAGCGTCGCGTTTTTTCTCAGGGCCTTCATAATCACGTGCCGAAGTTAGTAATGAATTTGGTGCACCGTTCGGAGAGACGTTTCATACATAATTTCACGTTTAATATGAATAGAATGATTCTTTTCTATCGCCTTAAAGGTGGGAGACGCCAAGATGGCGTCCGCTCGCCGACTTCGCTGATTTGACGTCTTGCCGGTCGACCCGACGATAATCCGCCGGTTTCGGCGACAGCTCGGTATCATTCTGGGAGATTAGTCCCGAGTTAAAGAAGCCTTTTCGGAATTATCGAGCCACCGTGGCCCGGGAAAGGAAATCCTGCCGAACGGTGTCCGTCAAATCATAGGAGAGAAAAAAGAAAAAGAGAAGAAGGAAAAGGAAACGGGGAAAACAATTCCGCATCCCGTATTCCATTTTTTTCTTTTCTTTTTTTTTCCCTCGCTTTCGCACGACTTTACGACACCATTAAGCAGAGTTCGCAGTCATTGGTTCGGAAAGCTATCGACCTAAATATTGCGCGATAAATTCATTCGTTCATAATTGTTCATCGCTTCGACTATCGAGATATATCGGGAATGAATTTCTCTCCACCCGTCCCGATATAAAATTCACTTTTTATCGGAAATATCTTCATTCCACATTGTCTAGATCGACACATCGCGACCACTGGGAGCGATCGTTACGTCGAAGGGCATCGATCGAAGATCGATCGATCGGAAAGGTCGATGACTCTCGAAGCAATGACTCGAGCAAGCCAGAGTGGCCACGATAGTTTACCTAAGTACTTCCATATCCACATACATTAACCAGGTTAATGACATAGACCCACCGAGGTCTCGCGATCGTCCGACTCGATTTACATCGATCGCGGTCGCGAGTCGACCGGACCCATCGATAAAGTCCCGGAATTTCTAGAAAATCATTTCGAAAACCAAGCTAAGAGCGATCGAGACCCCAGCAACGAGACTCGCGCGTACGTATTGCCATCGCTGCGGTAATTGAGGATCGATTGCGCCGATCGATGAAATCAGGATCATCGAATCGATTCCCGAAACGTCGATCGAGGTGTTGCGCCGATCGATAGAAATCGGGATCATCGAATCGATTCCCCAAAAGGACGATCGATTGCGCCGCGCGCGGGCGCGCTGACGGGCGGAAGAGAAATAAAGGACAAAAAAAAAGAAAAAGATAAGAAAAGAGTGATAGGGAAAACGAAAACCAGATAAAAGAAAGGAGAGAGCGAAGCAGAACTCACGTCATGACACACTGTCGAGTCATTAGGAAAGTTATGAAACGTATGTCAATTGATCCCCTCAGATAAGTGTGCGTCCTTGTGGTCACGTAGTCGTCGACCTGTGCGGATGGGCGTGCGAGTGCGAGAGAGAGGGAGCGATCGAGGATCGCGCGAGTGCGAGAGAGACAGAGAGAGAGAAAGCCGGCGAGAGAGGCGAAGTTATCAATTAGGACGAAGAGAGGATAGGAGTCGGGTGATAAATGTGCGTGGACGGGAAGAACCTCGCCGACCTCGGGGACATCCTGAGCGGAGACCACTCTCGAAGGCGTCGAACTCGAGGAGGTGGGAAGTGCAGCCAGGAATCGGTGCGGTCTGCATCGTATGCACCTGTGTGCACCTGCGCGCACCTAGAGCGAGCTTAGAAAGACGGTGTACAGAGAGATGGGGGGAGTAGGGAGGCGCGAAAGTACGCAGGACACGGGAGAAGGAACTGACTAACGTTTCAGGTATGAATTCCCTCCAGTACTAGATCTCAATTGCTCAGAACAATCTATTGAATTGTATTATACCGAATTATGTTAGCCGACCGGGGAGACGCGGATGCGTCGACGGATGCTGCGGTCGATGCATAGGTCTCACTGATACCCCCGAAATGTATAATTAGACCCCAAAGGGTCTCATTATTGTGACCGAGATGTAAATTGGCCTTCGCCGCATGCTTTTACTATGGGATACCATCGGGGGATTTGAACACGTCGACTCTGATATGTATGATAAGAATATAACGCGGCAAGGTAACAATGAGTTCTTTACCCCCCTCGCGGCGTGTCATTAACATCAATCCTCTTGCGACGTGAATTAAATTCTGTAAAGCGGTGCACCTTTTACAGGGTAAAGTATCTTACCGAATCACGGGCATGGGGATAGGTTTAATGAGTAAACGCGCAATTCTTGTTGATAAGGGTTTCGGGAGATTAGTGATAACCCTCAGGGCATACCTAAATGTTGACCGCAGCATCATCGGTGTCGTTAATGTCCACTCTGCCCGCGATGTTCCCTATGGTTGTATATTAACGTTCAACACCGGAACTACAACTACGGTACTCGAGACGCTGTACAGTGTTAACGCGTTGATAAGCGCCTTATCAAACCTCGCGAGTAGATGGACGAGGTTCCTTCGAGATGCGATTCTCATTATTTGCAGCAGAGCCGAGCTCGAGAGGTCGACCCGTAACGATGTAAAGCAGAGTTGATAACGCCTCGACAGGGCGCCCCTTAACACCTTCGTAACCCCTGATAAATCGTTATCATCGACCTCCACATTTTCTTAAAATCCGCCGATGGTTTAAATACGTCTCTCACGGTCATTCCGTTCTTGCTCCGTAACTCGTATCTCGTATAAAACATTTTTATTACGATCTCGCTTTATCATCATTACAATGTATACGACTGTACGGGGCATCGAAAAAAATAGTTCCAATTAATTTCCCAGGTTTAAATGACAGCACACTTGAGTTACCGAGCAAACCGGGGAGTGAGATCGTTGTATATGCTTTTTGGACGATAGACAATGTTTATAGCACTGTGCAATAATTTCTTTTCTACACGGTACTGCACAGAGCGCATACTCAGTGCTGTTATCGCCACCCTAAAAATGAATCGGTCGATTAATAACAATAAATTCGAGTTACGAATTTCGAGATCCGAAATACGCCGAGTCGTTCAAGAGTCGAGGCTCTCTCGAATTCGAAAATCGATCATCATCCCCCCCCCCCCTGGCCTCACCTCCGATACTGCCCCAACGAATGCTAGGTCGATATATCGCATCAAGGAATTACGAAATCGCGTGCACAAACGAGAACTTGATCCGAGAGTCTTTCGGTTTGCTTTTCGAGGTGAATGCGCTGGTTCAAGGAATTTTCATTGCTGTCCTATTGTTTGCTCAACTATCGTTATATACGTATATACATATACATATATATATATATATTATTGTAATTGACGTCTAATTGCGAATTGACTTTGTACTCGTCTCTATTTTCCATGTTTAGGTATATACGAAAGGCACAATTTTCTAGGGATTTATCGCCAAGCCGAAAGTACTAGCTCGACGAGGATCGAGCCGAGATACGGAGTGACGAGCTTCTCCATTTTTCTTTCCCGTTTTCTTTGTTTTTTTTTTCCCCCCGAATCCTTGATCGACTCATTCTGCCGCTCTCGTTGCCGTTCTCACGGGAATTTTGTTCCTTCCTCTATTTTCTTTTCCCTTGGTTTTTGTTTTCCCTCCCCACGGTTTTTCACTGGGGATCTCAAGTACTGGGCGAATTTCGCCTGGATTTCTTTCTAGCGCTTTTTCGCCAATTATTTCGCTGCTTCGGCTGCAAAGAGGGCCGGGTCAATTTCGGGAGGCTTGGAATTCCGGCTCGAACCTCTCGAGGCATTACTTTCGTACTGATTCTCGCATGAAATCGAGTTCCGCGAGTTCGAGATCGACCGGATGCCTCCGAGTGGGCTTCCCGAGCTCGGGTTGGATTCTTGAGATTAATTCGACTCGCGATCTCGCGAGATATTGTCACGATGCGGGGCATTTCCGACACGTCGAGAGAAGAGAATCGCGAGGACTCCGATTCCTAATCCGCGACCCCGAGAGCACCGGAAGCCGGTGCTTTCGGCTCGCCGGAAATTGCGCCGACTCGATGCGGTTCCGCGGAGCGCTCACGAAGGCGAGAAATGAAAAAAAGAAAAAAAGGCTCACACACTCGTCGCTACAAGGGAAACACCAATGATGAAGTAACAATGTATACAATATACATAAAGTATAAATACACGAAGATATATATACAGATACGAGATAGATTAATAAAAGTCGTGATTATTATTAATGTCGAGTGTCTTCATTCGGTTCGGTTGTCGTCCCACCAGGGAGCAGATTCTCAATTTTGTACAGATTTTTCTTTCGCGTAAAAATAAATTCCCACGAACAGTTTTTGCATTGTTGCGAAGTTGCTAGGCCGGTCAAAATTTGAAAGTTTTTGAAGAAATCCTCATGTTCGCACGTAAAAGTTGATCGTATGAATTCGAGAATCGGGTCCCAGTGAGAAATTCACAAGTGACGCGGGAGACTAGAGACGACCGTAGTTTGGCAAGCCCATCGTTTTATTTCAGGTTAAAATATCAGGCCGAGTATTATTCACCTCTTACTAGACGCGGCAGGTGCACCTGCAAGATCACACCTTCGGGCGAGAATATAACGCGATTGTAAAATTGAATTTTATCGTACAGAGGAGTAAAATTTCACGGCATAACGCACCTTACGTACTCGGATCGTGCAAGTGCATCGCACGGGTCTTCCGGCCTCGGAATGAGTACAAGTACAGTAATATAAATCGCACGATAAAATCTATCAACCAATTCGACAATCGATTAAAACGACCCCCCAACGCCTTACAGTCACAGAACGAAAGCCAGTCGATTTTTTCTAAACCCCGCAATAGCGCATGGAAATAATAAAAAAAGGGGGAGTGAGAAGAAAGGAATAAAAAAAAGTGACGGTATACGGTACATCGCGTATAAAATAAAATAAAAAATATATGTATACGACACCCATGGTGTCTTCCGCGGGGGAGGGGGCTCTCAATTTCTTCTTCCTTTTTTCCCCTTTCTTTTCCACAAAACGAAGCCGCCCTATCGTTATCATTACGTTTAACCTCCTACCCTCGCGTCGGTGAAAATTTGCAATTTTTTCGGAAACTTTCATTAGGACTCTTCGAGCTCCATTTCTTCTTAAAGTCCTGGAGGATGGAAGCAATCGAGTCCTGGCAACCTGCTTCAGGTTTTTGCTGATTTTTTTTCCTTTCTTTTTCTCTCTTCACTTTGAGGACATTTGCCGGAATTCTCAGTTATCAGTCGAACCCCTGGTCGACGTCCAGAGACTCCTCGAGTTGCATGATCTCGTCGTCGAGGAGGACGTCGTCGCCCTCGGCGATCCCGTCGACGGGATCTCCTTCAACGGCGAGATTGTCTGCCTCTGGATTATCTTCCCCAGGGTCCATATTATTGACTTCCGGGCCTTCGCCACCCTGACCAGGTTTCCTGGGGCTCCTGGAGGTTGCTTGGCCTGCAATTAGACGTTTTTTAATCCCCAGCCTCACGTCGCATCTTCCGGGCCTATTTGATCAATCTATCCAATTTTCTCTAATCGCGGGGAAAATAATCGCAATCAATTCTTCTAATTATACATGACTCAGGCAACGATATATACGCGTTGAGGTGAATGTTTTTATTTTTTCTTTTAGTGCGTCCGTTGATAAGGGTGCGTAGATTTTCAAAAGGTCTTATTATCTCTTATTAAAAGCTCTTATCATCTTAGGCACGATTCCAGTGCATCTCGGTTAGATCTACTTGAACGGATACGTGCCATGCCACGAGGTACGGACTTTTCAAGCTCACCTTGCCCCAGGTCACGAGCTTTGCTGAGGAAGGAGTACTCGCGTGCGTTTGCCAGGCCAGCGATAACGCAGGCACTCAGGGCACTTCTGTTCAGGTTCATCGGAGAGGCATCATACCACTCATTGTTGTCTGCGTCGTAGCACTCGACGTAAGCAGTTGTAGTGGATCCTGTCGATCGAATGGTCACTTAACACGATGAAAAGACAAAAAGAAAAAGGCAAAGCCACTCCGCGAAAAATTGAAACGCAGGTCTTATCGGTCCCTTGAATACTGACGGAAGGTGGGAAAGAAATCGGCAGTACTTAAAATAATAAAAAAAGAGACGTTAGAAATATTGTAGGCAGGATTAAGGACGACGGGACCAACCGTTGAATCCGCCGACCACGAAGATCATGTCGTCAAGGATGACCGTGGCAAAGTTACTCCGGGGGGTGAACATCTCCGTGACCTCGTGCCAGTCCGTGGAATTGTTGGGGGTGTACTTCTCCCCTGAATTTAAATCCCATAATTGATAAGAGGACATTTCGCTCATACATGGATACTCGGGCATGAGTTTGTTACCAGAGCTCAGCCTGGCGAACCCATTGAACCCTCCCAGGGCGTAAAGGCTGTCTCGAAATGCCACCAGGGAGACCCCTGACCTCGGACTCGTCATCGAGTGGATGTAACTCCATTGATTGGTCTCCACGTCGAAGACTTCGGCGGAACTGAGGACTTCCTGTCCATTAAACCCACCCACGATGTAGATCTTCTCCTGAAGCGATGCCGCGCTGGCGTCCGATCTCTGCCGGTGCATCGACGGAATCATTTCCCATTGGTTCCTCTGGGGCTCGTATCGTTCTCCAGAGCTCATCCTGGTGCGGCCATTGTACCCCCCTAGGGCGTAGATTTTTCCACCTGGGGTTGGAAATTCCCCATGGGGTCATAAACGGTGAAAGATCCAGAGGAAGTCGAGAAGAAGTCCCGGGGACCTCGAGGAAAGGACTCGAAGAGCCCTCTTTTCCGATTTCGATATGCAAATTTAACCGACTGCTCACCATGGGTGCAAACGCTGACGTAACACCTCGCGTGGTACATGCAAGCTCTTTCTCGCCACTCCTTCGTAACCGGGTCGAAGCATCTCACGGTGTTGAAGTGCTCGTTGCCGTCGAAGCCGCCGATCATGTAGATCAAGTCGTCGAGGGCGCAGAGCCCGTGATAAGCCCGGGGTGTCACGTCCGTGTTAACGGACAGAAACCACCGATCAGCCCTAAAATCGGAGACAAGCTATCGGACAGACGATAAGAAGAGATCCCGGAAGAGGGTCTCGAAGAGAATCCTCCTTAAACGGAGTATGACGTATATGAAATCCAAAATGTGCAAGAGTGCAAGAGTGACGAATCGTTATTAGAAATCCAATTAAGAGGATGATAAAAACGTTCGGAAATAAATTGAAAGGGGAAAAAAGTTGAACCTCGTTAAGTACTTTGGAGAACGCGAAAAGACACGGTGGACCCAATTACATTACATTTTAATACAAAGCTTCATTGTTATCATCGAGTGGCACTTTCGTATCGCCTTAAATCTGGATTTAATTTTTTTATCCGAGAGATAAAAAAATCCCTACCTGGTGTCGTAGGTCTCGACGAAGCTGGTGGGCGACCCGGCGCTCCATCCTCCGATGGCGAAGAGGATCTCGAAGGGGATCCTGGGCCTGGTGAGGGGATTTCGGGGGTCGGCCTCGCCACCCTGACGAGATTCTTGCTCGGTTAGGTAAGCCTTCGCTGGACCAAGGACTCTCAGGCACTCCTAGGAGAGGATAATCAGGAGGTTTTGGGGTCGAAGGACTCGAAGGACCGAAGGACCTCGAGGAGGCTGACCTCGTCGTCCCCGACGTGGCTCCACCCGAGGACTCGCTCGGTGAAGAACTTGAAGCCCACCAGGCCGAACCTGACGCAGCCCAACAGGTGCGGCAGGTGTTTCTTCCTCTCATCGGGCTTCCACTCGAGCCAGGTCTTCACGGCCTCGAAGACGAGCTCCTCGTTTCGCACATTGAGCTCGTCATCCTTCAGGATCGCCTCCAGCTCCTCGGCGAGGAGCTCCTTGAACTCCCCGCTCTCCTGCAGGATCTGTTTGAAGTGATGACGGATGTACTTTCGGCCTTTCTCTTCGAGGTCGCGACAGAAGTAGTGACGCGCAAATTTGAATATACCTGCGCAGGGCAAAAGGGAAATCGTATCCTGGAGGCAACTCGTATTATCCTACAAGTGTGAGAAATCAAGGCGGAAAAATTCCGGCCTAGGGAAATCCGCGAGGCAAAGTGGCCTGGGCGAAATCTCGCAAAAAATAGAATTTAACCTACCTAGGCAATTTTCAGGCCGGAGCTCCTGCAGGAGGAATTGACAGCACAGCTGGACGACGCCCAGGACCTCGAACCTGTCGGCCAGAGGAAGGAGCTGCTCCACGTTTTCCGCGGTGACGTTGCACGTGCCCGTGTAAGCGTAGTCCAGGATGAGGCCGAAGACGTCGCCGGGGACCCCGGTGATGGCCACTTCCGTGGTTTCGGTTTTCCCGCCCTTCAGGCTGTTCGTGAAGAGCGCCTTGAAGTAAGGACTCACCGCCGAGAGGATGGCGCGGTGGACCGAGAAGACCCTGTCCTGGGCACACCTGATCGCCCCGTCGCAGAGCTGCTGGTTCGCCCTGGAAGTATTTTCCCACTTGAATCCGTAATATTCCATTTCTACGGTATTCTAAATTATCCGAGCAAGGTCCTGAAATTCTTCATTTCTGATTCCAAGCCTCCAAGAGGCCTCAAACATCGAAAACGTGGACGTCTTGGTTCCAGTCCATGATGAATAAATCCATTTTTCATGAAATATCAAATCTCATGAGTTTCAGGACCTTCCTTAGGGCCTCCATATTCCCGTGGTGAAAACTTGAAACGAATCGGTACACCCTACTGGGAGAGTACTTGCACCAACGATTGGACTTCTCGGATATATATACAGGCTGACTCTTTAATGTCACTTTAAGTTCGGGATGAAAAATGTTGAACCTTGGAGGGGAATCTCGGGGACCAACCTGAGCTCCGACCAGACGACGGGGAACTCGACGAGGGCGTAATTCGAGGGCAGGCACATGCACCTCCTGGTGCGATTACTCTGCCTCTTCTTGCCCTGCTTGTTCCTCGGAGCGGAGACCGCGGCCCGCGAGGTCCGGCTTCGCCAGAGCTTCCTGAGTCTGATTCTGCCGTCCATCCTCCCCGAGTCCAGACTCGAGGGCAACCTCGAGCCCGAACCCGAGTCCAGACTCGGGCACCGACCCGGGTCCCGCGGGAGGCCGCGAGTCGCGGTCCTGGAGGACCTTCCGAGTCCCACCTGCGAGTCACCTGCGAGTCCCGATCCGAGGGCTCTCTCGGCTTTCTCCCTGATTTCGAGCCTACCTCTCGACGGACCTGGTGACTGACGCAGAAATCCGCGTGACAGTCGACGTCCGAAAGAGGCGTCGCTCGAATGTCTCCTCCATTTCGAGCCCAAGGACCGAATTAAAGGGCGATTTACGTATCCGACACGATTCTACAAGGGACGTTTCAGACCGATTCAAACGCATGTTACGACATTTTGACCGATCGGTAAATTCGATTTTCGGCCCAAAGAGATTTTATATTTAAGTAAGAATTTGAAGAATTTGAGTGAAAAATTATCGATGGTTTTAAGGGGACATGGAAGGGACATCCGAGGGATCGATCGTTCATGAAACTTTTCGGTGAACTGGATTTCCGACTCGTTTCAAATCGTACAACGTGGATGTGGAGTCTTTAAAGAAGATCCTTAAGTTTCATTTTTTATAATAAATGTTAAAAATATCTATGAACAACTTTTGATAAAATGGGAATTTCAGGAGTTTCAGGACCTTCCTTGTACCATCGCCTTAAGGTTGACACTTATAGCTTGAGGTGATTTTACGTGACAAGTCGTTGGTCGGCGATAATTATAAAGTGATCTTGTTGGTCGGTAGGATTGTTCGCGATCCTAAGGGATGAATCAAACCTTTTATCGTTAATGTACACACGGGAGAATCCTAAATCGCGTCCGAGTCCCTCTCGCAATCTCTTGGCAGGTTTTTTATCCCCCACCTCGGGCAGGGGCTTCGATCCGCAAAAGTTCCCGAGTACGAGGATATCACTCGGTGGATGCACCTAGCTTCGGTATCCTCGTAAGAGCGATCTCATGATTTCATAATTCGAGCAGGGACTTCTTCCATTTGGTACCTCGAGGTCCCTCGGGATATCCTCGGCAGTCTCCTTCTCATCAGGAAATGGAGCAGGACGAGGGAGGTTGCAGACACGTACATTTTGTACGGGCACCTATGTACGGAGAGGAGGAAAGGGGGAGGGACACGGAAGAGGGAAATATAGATGTACGGTTTCCAGGGTTGAAACGAAATTCACGAGAGTTCCGAGCCCGGAGTTCTCGACGTCTTCCTTTTTTCCTCTCCCGTGGAAAAATTAGGAAAACTCGAGACCTGCGAGCAGGAGCACTCGTTTTCCCTTATAAACGAGGAAATGTTAGTAAGGGGTAGAGTCGGGAGATCGACGAATTGCGAATTAAACCAGACGGAGGACGTCCCTAAATGCAGGACGGTAAATCCCAGATGGAGGAGTACCTACCATTACTCATGTCGGAAATTCGACTGTACTCGCAGTGCGCATTGTACATCCGGCTGAAAGTGTAATATTATATTAATCGCCGGCTGTGAACTTTCGTTCCTCCTGTTAGCACTAAATTTCCCTCTACGAACATACGCAAGTCAAATCCCAGAGTTCCCTTGATATCGTTCACTCTGTCCCGTAATTATATTCATTTAAGATACAATTTGCAGATTAAGGGAATAAATACCGCGGGTAAACGTTTCATTTCTCAATGTCACTCCTGAAAAAATTTCCCATCACTTCCTGTCCTATTTCTCTCTAGCTGTATCTCATATTTCTAGTGCCTGAAATGCCATTAAAGTTACAAAGCTATCGTATCGTCCATTGTCACCGCAGGAGTTGAGCTATCCTCCCCCGATATGGTAGAACTAACTTTCCCTATTATACCCTTCCTGCATATCGATAACTCTCCGTAACATTTACCAAATATTCCGCAAATTTCCTCAATTTCACCATTTATTACTCCTCTGTGTCATATCTCCCTCTCAGGATAAGAAAAATCAAGGAAAAGCTCGCGATAAGAGACAAACTACGAGCGCATGCCCGAGCATTGCGACGAATTGCCCCTCAAATTTCTTCAACTTGACCATTTTTTCTTTTCTTTTTCGGGGATTACTTCTCTATGTCATTTCTTCCTCCCGGGATAAGAAAAATCAAGGAAAAGCTCGCGATAAGAGACAAACTACGAGCGCATGCCCGAGCATTGCGACGAATTGCCCCTCAAATTTCTTCAACTTGACCATTTTTTCTTTTCTTTTTCGGGGATTACTTCTCTATGTCATTTCTTCCTCCCGGGATAAGAAAAATCATGGAAAAACTCGCGATAAGAGACAAATTACAAGCGCGTGCCCGCGCGTTGCCGGCAAGTTGCACGCGTACCAACGCTCACGGCCCAATCAATATTTAGGTATATAGGGTGTGCGTTTCAGGAGGCAGCAGTCACACCACTCGTCCGGCAGTGCGTCCGTGGCCACCAGCCACACCTTGTCGAGATCCCAACCAAAGCCTAGGACCGTGGTGACCTTCGAGCACCGACCTTGAAAAGAAGCGAATCGGCGAGGTCGTCCTCCTTATCAGAGGCTCCCGCGAGGACGCCAAGGCGCCACCCTGCCCACGGTAAGGCACCCCGAGACACCGGTGGACGCGTCGAGCATTTCCCATTTTTTTCCTCCTTTTCAACTTCCTCCTCCTCCATGAGATTTCGAGACAGAGGGAGACAGTGCAGTGGATTTTGTGCAGGAATCCTGTCCAGGAAGCATCGCGTTACGGATTGCTCTCCTAGCACTGATAAGAATTCGAGACGTGGTTGCGGCGGTTTAAGGAAGAAAAAATTACATGTGCGTTGTGCATATTGATTTTTTGTGCTCTTATGTTGTCGGAGGAAGAAGTGGATAAGGATAATTTAAACGTGGTTAATGATAAAAGGCGTAATAATGCTTTATCCCCTCGCGCTGATAAGAATTCCAGACGCGGTTGCGGCGGTTTAAGGAAGAAAAAATTACATGTGCGTTGTGCATAATGATTTTTTAAATGAGTGAGAAACTGGTGAAGAGACTACGGAGATTTATGGAGTCTTTGAAAATCTTCACTCGTTGCAGTTGCTTTAATTTAAAAATTGGAAAAAATTACAAAAATTCAGTTTAATGAACACATAGTTGTGTGGTACCTTTATGGGCAGGACTGATAAGCTCTTTTGCGGTTTCAGAAAGTCCCAAAGAATTATCGAGGATGGAAGTGAAGGGGCGCGTTGCCCTCGTTACAGGTGCAGCTTCCGGTATAGGACGAGCATATGCCGAAGAATTGCTCGATCAAGGTGCCAAGGTGATTTTCCCTGTTAAATATTTTCCCCCAAACGTCCCTATAAATCTGAGAAGAACTCGGGAAATGATCTAATCACCCACACGTACAAACATATCGGTCCGGTAATTCGGCCAAGATGCCAAGAGCCTCCAACTCGTGCCAGGTTTTTTTTTTCCTTTTCTTGGCGAACCTCTCGGTACGTTTTTATCACTCTCATAAAGTCGTTAGACTCCTTTATGATAGAGCAACGAGCCAACCATTCGGTATCGCGATTGGACGGGTAAGAAAAACCGAGCTGACATTTCACGGTTCAACACGGACCGTATGACGATCCCTCCGGGATATTAAAAAATTTCCCCGGTGGTATTAATATTATTTCAGTTATTTTTGTAAAATTATTTCTTCGAGTAGAAAAAGAAAAAGAAAAATGAGGGATTTCCCGAATAAGATCTCCAGAAAGTGTAGCGAGGTCGTTTCGGGGCACACGTGGTGCAAATCGCCTTTTAGGCAGAAAGAGCTCCCTCGGGACGGAAATAGAAACGATATTTCTGGACGGAGAGTACCGGCTAGAAATTTCGCCCCACTTCGGTATTCTTATCAAACACTTTCTTAGGAAGATTCCTGGAGACTCTTTCAGGGGCAGATAAACCACGCACCCTCTATGCCGAAGTTCCATTCTTGCGTGTATTCCGGTTGAATGTTTTTTAGTACACCGTGCGAAGGTGTAAAAGAAATTACCATTACGAGTATACCAACCGATAGTTATTACCACCTCCGTGAAGAGTTAGGAAACTCATCAGCAGGGGAGGGGGGCAGACGCCGGTTCATTATCTCAGACGAAAATGAGCGATTAAGGGCGGGCTTTAATTTCATTTCGAAAAGTTTCCTTGGTAGAGGGCCTCGTCTCGAGGAGATAGCGCTCGTAAAATTGCTCTTGCTAATCGGAAGGCTCCAAAGAATTCCTAATTCGAATTACCCTTCCCAACTAGATGACCTCCCTCTGAGGAATATACTTTTCCAGGTCTCCGTCTGCGACATTAACACGGAGGAGGGCGAGAAGGTGGTCGGCAATTTGGCGTCGAAATATGGCAAAGATCGCGTTATCTTTTGCCAATGCGACGTCACCGATTATCCCCAATTCGAAGGTAAGCTCGAAAGATACTCCTGGCCCCCACATATTTAAGGACACCATCTTAACATTCTCAATTTATTTCACGTGCGGATTCGATTGATCACGTTCGACATAATCGGACCTGAAACATCAGAATCTTTCCAAGCTACGATTGCGACTTTCGGTCACATCGACATCGTCATCAACAATGCTGGCATCATGAACGATCGGTTTTGGGAGCTCGAAGTAGACATCAACCTTGTAAGTTCCCTGCTATTAAGGCGACGTAAATTTATATATAGATATTTTTTTAATTTCTTATAAAAAAAGAAAATGAAGTTCCACGAGTGTCAGGACCTTCCCTGTAGCCTCTCACGTTGTAAAGTTAAAAATTAAACGACTCGGTGCACTCAGTTAGGATAAAGAGTTTCATGAAGGATGTGGCATTCATATCCTCCCCTTAAGGGGGGTAAAACTGAAGAAATTGACAGCGAACGCTTTATGACACCGAATTAAATGAAATAGGAGTAATAATGGCCACGATTACGATTTTCAGAACGGGGTGATCCGCGGTACGCTTTTGGCACAGAGATTTCTGGGCACTGACAGAGGAGGCTGGGGTGGTGTCGTCGTCAACACCGGCAGTAATATCAGTGTCAACCCTTATGTCAGCGTGCCGATTTATTCCGCGACAACGACGGCCATTGTCAGCCTTACCAGAGCTTTCGGGGTGAGGAAGAGAAACGGCGAAAAATAGCCCCCGAGGCTCGATAATGTCCCAATGGACGGATTCTCGTAACACCGAATGTTTGCTTTTGACAGGACCAATACCACGTGGATCTGACAGGAGTGAGAGTGATGGCCCTTTGTCCGAGTGCGACAGACAGCAATCTGGTTCGCGACGTCACGAAGCAACTTCTTTCCGCCCGATACGAGGACGCCTGGCGTCGCGACACCGCGTCCTCGATCCCTCAAAAGTAAGTTATACTATTCTTTTCTTTTTATCGCTTTTCATTAGGACCTTGAGGATCAAGGACGATAATCATTGAGACGGTCTAACTAAATGGTACATTGTTAACTGCAGTTTCCCCGTTTCTCCTTCACTTAAATGCTCGACTTTCCGGACCTTTTAACATTTAGGACGACAAACAACGCGTAGTTGTCAATTACTTATCAGGGTCATTAATGAATTGTCTTTCGCAGAACCGAGCACGTGGCGAAGGCGTTGATCCAAGTGTTGAGCACGGGAAAAAGTGGAAGCGTCTGGGTCGTCGAAAATGGTCAACCCCCACGTGAGATAAGCTTCCCGAAGCATTAAGTCGCAATCACGACGGGAACCTTCCTCGCTTGACTGCAAATACAATGCCGTACCAATATCTAAATGATATAAGACAGTCCATATAAGCAGCTATGAATCGGTGCTGGGCATCACTTGCAAAACAGACGCCACCCGACGCTCTCATTCCACGCGAAGAATGTCGAATGGACGGTCTCGAGTCTTCGAGGGGGTGAATTTTAATTCCATTATTGACAAACCGTTTGTTGAAGAGGCCTTGGGAGAATGGAATGATAAAACGAACCGTTTCCCCTGTATTTCGAGGCGGCAATTTGGACTGATGGGTTTCAGAGCTCGATCGGTCATTTCTTTGGACTTCCACGTGGAATGGGGGTGCGGAATAGAGATGTAATGGAAATCTCGTTTTTTACTGGGAAATCGTATTTTGCCCGGCACTGTCTCCGAATGCACAACCTACGAGGGTAGGTCAGGTGCGAAAAGATACGGTCCGAAGACTTTTATCAGATAGAATTGCTTAGGTCGATAGACTGTACCTACAGGTGGACGGAATCACCCCAGCGCATTTACCCCGTCGTTGGGAAATTTTAGCCTCAGGATAATATTAACATATTACAATTTTATCGTTTAAAGTCGCAGCCCTAATAGCCACGATCCGTGGCGGGTTTCGAGTACACATTCGGCGTGGATTTATCGTAACGATTATCGATTACGTACACAGGGTGCTTCTCCACTGGCGTGAGAAAATTATATAAACGTTCAAGAAAAATGTTAATAATTCGGGGAAAAATTGTCACAATACCCCGAGAAGCTTTCCAGGACCCATGGAAGTCCTTTTAGAAGCTGAGACGATGAATCTCAATGAATCTCTTACACAAAAGCGGAAAATCCTGAAATTGAAAGATATGGTTCTGATAAGCTATTAGGCATCGATATTACCATTTCTTCTTTTTCTTTTTTTTTTACTCCCATTATCAAGGAATGGCTAGTGGAGGAACATCCAATCGGTACATTTTCACGTGGGGTACCTCGTAAAGGATCGAACGCACAGAAGCAATCGTGCTCGTAATTTTTATACATTTTTTAAGCGAGATCAAGCGCGAAGGGTGGCGGAGAGAAGTCGAACCGAGGGCGGGAATTTTAAAATGGGGGTAGATAATGTGGTAAGAAAAAAAAAGATATACGTGTAGACAAAAGAGGGGGCCCTATCGTAACAAAGGGTCCTCTCTTCCGCCCTTCGAGGTTCGACATCGAAGTCGCACCCTTTTCCCTTCAACTCCTGCAACCCACGATCGGTAGATCGGGTCCTTGCACAACTGAAAATATAAAGAATAGGAATTCTTCGCTATTTTTATCCGACTCTTTGACCGATCTCGATCAGTGCCAATGATCGAGAGTGGTTTAACCGATTAGCGCAGTTAGCTAGGCGAGCTGTAAACCGCAGGGGGATAATTCTCTTAAATTCCTTAGATTTCCAATTGTGCAACGAGCTTCTCGTTTCGCTGGAACGTGCAGGTGCAGGGGATTATTAATAATTGTTTTTTTTTTCTTTTTTCATAGCAAGACCTCGTTTTTTCGGGCAGGTTCAAGCAAACGGGGAATCATCGGTTTCGCATTCGTTCGCTTCTAGGTTTGCGTTGCACCGGCGGGAAGGTGTTCTTCCCTTATCGGAAGGGGTTATCGCACGATTAGGACTCTTCGAGGGTGACCAACAAGGGCGACACAGAGGGAGGAAGTATAAAAGACGAAGGGAACGAGGAGTCGCGGTTAGGTCATTGTAAATCGTCAACGGACTATAAATCCGTAGCTAGAGGAAATTGTTAGTTCTGTTATCATTTGCTCGAGATGTACGTTGCAAGCCTTAATAATAAAATGCACAGCTTGGTAAGAACCCAGAACCTTCCTCCTCTCGGAATTACCGCGCTAAAAGGTCGCCGAAACACATTCTACATTGGAGCGACCATGCTTTTGTTTCTTTCGGCTTTCTGTCAACCTTTGCGCGTACTCTATCAGAGAATGATAAGACGAAAGTCCTTGGCAAATTCTTAGTTAAATCCCGTTCCTTCGTGGGCCTTTAGTCTTATTTGCTGGAAGGAAAGGGCCAGGGAGAAAGGATGCTTTCTGTGCCCCTCTTGCGGCGCGCAACACCTGCTTTGACCAATCACCTGAAGGACCCTTTCAGGTGAGTCAAAGGAATCGGTGAAAGGCCGGGCTCTTTTTCCGGATAATGCAATCAACGCCTTCATTGCGGGCAGGAGTATTGTCCCAGGGTACGAGCGCAAAGTAGTTCCGTCCTCGAGGGGGCCTTAACGAGTTATCGACCCCTCGGAGGGGGGCATACCTGTCAAACGTCAGAAATTAATTCCCCCCCGACAAAAGCGTCGCCTTTAATGAACTAACCTCCCAATAAACGGGACTGTTTGATCGGTTTAAGTTCCTCGTGCAATTTTTACACCTGCCGTTGGCCTGCGCGAAAAATCAACGGCGAGGCAAATATAGGGAGAAGAGGCTTCTTCTCGAGGAGGAAGGAGAAAAACGAAGGGACCAAAATCGTCGTGCCGAGAAACTGGTAAGAAGTTCAACGTAATTCAATGAAAATTGCAAAGGAGTCGATTTCTTTGTATGTTATTTTTTTTCTGCGATTAATGCGGCATTCTCTTAAGTCGATAGAACTTATTAAATTGTTTTTCACGCCGTGCGTGTTTCCTTGATTTTTTTGTAGCGCACAAATGGCAAAGCCGATCCTGGAGCCCATGTGCAAGATCGCGGTAGTCCTCGGAGGTGCTACCGGTGTTGGGTATGCCGCCGCAAATCACCTGTTAATGAAAGGAGCACGAGTAATTAATTGGTTTAATACGTATTGACGAATAGAATTTAAACGAGCCTCGGGAATGTGTAAAAATATGAAGCCTTAGTAAGCACCATAGGCCTTAAAGAGTTCCAGGTCAATCTTGAATTTCTCGAGAATGACGGGAATTCAAGTATTCCTTTCTTTGCCTTTTTTACGAAGACCAGGTTAATTGAGATGCGATATCGTGCTTCCAGAGCGTGGTTTTAATCGACTCCAGAGAGGACACTGGACATCTTGCGGCGAGAAAGCTTTGTTCCGCCTTTGGGAAAGATCGAGCACAATATCTCAGGTGCGACACGAGAGTAGAGAGCCAGTTGGAAGGTAAAGAGACGAAATATTTTTCGGCTCTTCGAGAAATTCAGGAAAAATATGTATCTCTCCGTTCGCAGGGATTTTAGGGAAAGTGTTGTGCAAACACAAAGGCATTCACATACTTTTCAACGATCTCGACAAACACGAAGGGCGGCGCCCCCCTCGAGCTTTCTGCTCCAAAGAAGACTCTAACCTGGTGACACTTTTTCTATTATTATTTATTTTAAATATGTTATTTATTTGAAGAAAAAAAAAATATTGGCACGTTATTCTTTTTTCTTTTGAAAGTAACTCGGACGATGTGGACCATTTCGGAGCAGATGAAGCGATCGTTTGGTAATTTCAAGGGATTTTCAACAGGACAACACCACGAGAGCTGTTCAAACAGGGATGAAGTTTATGGGGACGCCTAATGGCGGTCCTGGAGGGATGATAGTCAATAGTGCCAGTATCCTCGGATTTATGGCATTCCCTCAGGACCCTGTGCCCGTTTATTGCTTCAAAGAACCTGCCATCGAAGCCACTCGAGATCTCGCGGTACGTTTGGAACTGTATTTGAAGTTTAAACATTTCATAAGGATAGGCTCCTTCCATTTTTACAGAAGCAGTTCCCCGAGGAGAAGACAGGAGTGCGCATCGTCGCTCTTTGTCCGGCTAATAAACAATTTCATTGCATCGGTCTGCCTGATTTTCCAGAAGGGAAGAAGATTTCAGAAAATGGGAATCACCGAGAAGGAACAGGAAATCATGCCTGCGTTCCGACAGAGTACAGTAATCGTAACATTTATTTTATAGAAACCTCGCCGACAATTCTCGCCTTTAACGTATCGTACAAATTTGTGGATACGAATTGTTATACTTCTTGTGAATTATAGTCATTCGAAAATTGGTAAAGCACTCACTCACGTGTTGGCTTGGGCGACACATGGAAGCATATGGCTCGTAGAAGGTTCCCCAAGTGTCTATGAACTTCCTAGGATGATTCACTTTCCGTCGAAGGAAGGCGAGAAAATCGATCCCAAGGTCTACGACAATGAGGTGGGATTTTTTTTTATTAATATTTTATCGATAGTTTAAGACTTCATATCTCCCCCTCCAAGGTTGCTACATTACCTGACCCGTACATACCCAATAAGTATGATAAGGAAACGAAGGTTTATTAACAAAAAAATTAAATTTCACTTTTTCCAGTCCTGTCCCGTCACAATAAAGCCTGATTGTGCGGAAATTTTGGAAGACACTTGTCCACTGGGCGATAACGCCAACTGCGAATTAACGCCGAAACGCAAAAAGTAATGCGATGACGATGGAAGAAGAAAACATTGTAAAATTATTTAACGAGGAAAATACACAACGCGAAACGCCACTGTAAAAAATTGTCTCATTGAAATTTCCAAGAATACAGATAGAGAGTCTTATTATTTTTCCCGCTCTGCGCCATTCCTGGCAATCGGTGACATTATTGGTTTACGCTCGCGTAAACAAGATTCGTGAGAGTTCAAGTAAGAAGCAAGTATCGTTGTTAAGACAAATTATTGATACAAAAATATTTTAATCGACTCTGCGGAATGAAAGTTCGATATTCCGTTTCTCCCTTCCTCTTCCTCCCGGAACATTTCTCGACTTTCAGGCTTCCCGACGATTTTTTAACGACGCTGTTGATAAATAAACATTGAACTGCGACCCCAGCTTATTTTAAATTAACAACAGCCTCGGAACTTATCTGCCTCCTTTGCAGATCAAACGTGGGTTGGCAAGGTTTCTTTATTGCCATAAACAGGACGAAAAATCCAGGAGCCCTTTGTCAATGAGTCATTTAAATACGATAAGAAGAATTTGATTAAACACATAAACAAAACATATTATCGCAAACATCCAATAGGTACTGTAAATTACAACGAAAATCCGTCTCGAGCTACATCCCATTTAGGATACAGAATTTGTTTATAAAAATTCTTGCTTAAATAAACCTTGATGCGTCTATTAACAGTACTCTTTGAAATGGCGTTTTACATTCGTATACTGAAAGTCGAGAAGTTTATTTAAAAATAAGCAGGAGGTGATAGTTAAGAAAATGGCGGCCTCGCATCTCCAGGTCGCTTGATCCCGATAACTTTATTAATTGTTAATGCAAATCCTGTTCGCCAATATGTATGAGCTTGATAGCGACAAAGTGTATGTTATGTGGACCCAAGCCGCTGAATCGGTCCTGATAAATGCAAGACCGCATCCAGGGTTATCTACCGTCGAAACAGCGACGCCGTATTTTCAATTGCACGCAAATCAATTCGTATCTTCGCCGTGAGGTAAAAGAGTTTCATAAAAGGAGCTCCGCGGGCTTCGTTAGGAACAGTTCGTACAAACCAGCCGAACAATACCTCAGTGAACCGTAAGTACACAATAACAAGAGCCTGGGAGATTTTTTCCGGTACTTCAATTTTACCCGCAATCCGCCTTGAACACGCAGGGCACAATTGCCCTAAGAAATAAATTGCTATTAAATTTAAGTTATTCTTAAAAAGGAGAACTGGCATGAAGTCATTTTCAAATGTAGCCGATTTTTATTTAAAATCGACTCTGATCTTACCACACTATCATAGAGGGAAAGAAAAATCCTGGCAGGGTGGAAAATGTATCTTCCTTTTCATTTTTGCAGACCCGTTATCAGCGAATCTTATCACTCCAAGATGAAGGTTAGAGACTCAATCTGCTTGATCACCTGTGGCATGAACGACATGGGGATGGCAATTTGCCAGGATCTTTTAAAGAATGGGGCTACCGTGAGTACAGGCAAAATCTGAGCTGAATTCTCAGTCAATTTTCTAGTCGATCGCCTTGAATGGATCAATAACTTACTGACTGAAATTAATATCACAGCACGTGTGCGTAATGGACTATCCTTGCTCCAAGGCCGAAGAGACAAAGTTCTTATCCCAGTGCGGGAAAGAACACACCACCTTCTTGCCCTGCGACATGACAAAGGAAACCGAAATCGAAGGTTTGTATTCACTTTGTAGCGTTCACAGTTTCACCCGAAATTTGCCTAAAACTATTTAACACGTTGTAAAAAATACTAGACACTCTAAGTGTACCTGGGGTACGGTCAAAAACGAGGTACCGCAATCGAGTAATTTTCTTTTTTATTCCAGCATGCTTCAAGAAAATGATTGACACGCACAAGTGCCTTGACATTGTCATCAATACTTGCGGGACATGGGACGAGAAAAATTGGGAAAAGTGTTTGGCGGTTAACATGGTAATTACCAAAAAACGACCTGACGCCTACCAAAATGAGAATTCCGACCCGACTGGAATTCCTTACATGTTTTATTTATTTTTTTAGGGCTGTGTAATACGTTCTTGCTTGATAGCCATGCGATTCATGAGCAAGGAACAGTTAGGCAAGGGTGGATGCATCGTCAATGTGTCATCGATGACAGGGTTGCAACTTTTGGCATGCGCTCCTATTTTCTCGGCCACGCACTGCGGTTTAATCGGATTCGGTCGATGTCTTGGGGTAAAGATGAAATGAAATACGTCCGCCCGAAAAAAAGAAAAGAAAAAAAAAAGGATAAGATTTGAAACATTTTCCGGCACTCCATTTCACATATTCATGATTTTCCTGACAATGGGCCGAATGATTTATTTTACGATTTCAGCAATCCTGTCACGTCGACAAAACAGGGGTCGCCGTAATGACAATTTGTCCGGGAATTAGCGAGAAGAAGATCTCGGAATATTCGGAGAAGCTTTTGAGCTTCGTCGAGCCGAAGTTTGCTGTCAACGAGATGACCTCGTATCCACATCAGCGGTAGAGAGAGAGAGCTTTTGCAATAATTTCTCCCCTTTTTTAATAAGGATTTTTAATCGACACCGCTTATCCTATTTCAGAGTCGAGGACGTATCCCACGGGATTCTGTGGATGATCAAAAACTGCGAGAGTGGATGTGTCTGTGTGACAGAGAACGAAGAGCCGCTTTGTAAAATCAAGTTCCTTGAGTGTAGCGAGATGAAGGAGGGACTAAACTTCAAGTAAAGAGACCTGTCGATCCAGCTTGCGAAAGATACATTATAGATTGTTGACTTCTCCGCTCTGAAATGTCCATTTTGCCATATTTGAATCGACCTTGCCAACTCGCAATTGTAATTTCATGATAATTAAACGTTACAAGCGTACACGATCGATCGAGGTATCTGCGAACCTTTTTGAAAATTTCAATGTCTGCCACAGTGAGCATTTACCTAGTAGTCAGTGACTTTATTAGGCCATTAATGAAGTTATCATCTCTGAGGCCAAATTTCCGAAACTTCAATTACCTTCGTGTTTCGTTCGGATAAAAAATCATATACGTGTAGCTTAGAAACAATCATACCGTAAATGGGAATATCTCCTTGTTTCCATTTTAATTTGGTTCGATTACTTTTTACTGGGTAATTATTCATGTTTACGCCCATTTGTTACCTCAATAATGAGCGCGGCGGTAGGGTCGCGTATTTTTATCCGCACGGTGGACTTTGTTTCCCTTTAACTACGCAGAATTGCAACAATAAATAATAATTCTCGCAAGTTCGACGTGTTATCACTGACCCTTGCCATCCTCCGGCGTCTTCGAGAGACCCCACCATTCAAGATTCCTGTAATCAGAGCTCACCAATACATGGTGTACTGGCTTAATTGATATTCCCCTATCTCCTGAAATTACTCACAAGCAAAGGAGCTTGTTTGCTCCCCTGTCAAAATACTTTTTCTTTAATGACTTATCTTTACTTTAAATTTAAATCGCCCGACGTACATACACAATACTCCAACTTAAGATTTTCACATTTCATGGCATTAATGATCGTAATTATTATTTTTCCTCTCGACGTATTCATATTGCCTGCGTCTGGGAATGATCCCACTCGAGATCATCCCGTTGGAAATGGATATTCAATTTTCCGAAATTGAACGACTTATTTTTTTTACTTAGAATTTAAATCGTCCAACTTTCAGTGATAATACTCCAGCTTAGGATTTTCACATTTCATGACATTAATGATCGTAATTGTTATTTTTCCTCTCGACGTATTCGTGTTGACTACGTTTGGGAATGATCCCACTCGAGATCATCCCGTTGGAAGTGGATTTTCAATTATCCGAAAATTCAGGGCATTTCGCTCCTTCTCGCGAAGTGACCTCGAGGTCGAGGATCATCCGAGCGTGGACGATCGGGACTGTCGTAAAAAAATAAATTGCCGGAGATATCGATTGCACAAACATACCGGGGAATCGATAATGAGGAAGTCAAAGGTCGCGGGACAAAATGTGATTCTCCCTTATCACTTCGCGGGAGAGCTTTGGGAAACGAGTTGCGCTCCCGAGTCCCAAAGAACAAGACGTCCCTCGGGAGAGTTCCTTTAAATCCTCGCCTTCCATGCCCTTATGCTTGTCGGGCTCGACAGTATTTTCGGATACCACTTCCTGGATCAATTAGCAATTTTTGTGATAATTTCGAAGAGTGCCACGATTTTATCTAAGGGGGTTCGTTAAGAGAACAGATCCAGCATCCCTTTGTGTCGACTGTGCGCGAACGAATTAATCGGCGTATACTTTCTGTGAAGTTCAATGTCCTCACTGAATTTTTCTTAACTTAAGGGAGGAGCCAATAAGAGATCAAGATGCAAATTAAGGACAAAAGAGCGATAATCACGGGAGCAGCCAGTGGATTGGGATTGGCCTTCAGCAGGGAACTTCTCCGCAACGGTGCCATGGTGAAGGAATTAATTAAACAAAATTGCGTAATTGAACATAAAATCAGATTTTGATTTTCAAGAGAAACAAGTTCGAGGAAGCAAACAAAAAATATAGTGGACGTCAAATGTCCTTTTCTGCGATATTTCAGATTTATTCGCGTTGTTAAATGTGCATAGTCTCGAGGATTACGATAACGTTCAGCCTACTCCAGTGCGTGATAATTAATTATCGTCTGGTTTATAATCAATTTCAGTCGGTGGTGATGTTCGACATTCAAGAGACGGTTGGCCGAGTAGTCGCGGAAAGTCTGAACTCGGAATTTGGGGGAAAACGAGCGATTTTCGTTAACTGTGACGTTACGAAGGGCTGCGATTTCGACGGTTGGTTATTAATGAAAAACAAGACGAATAGTTATTCAGTGAAACGAATCCCCTTTTCGGGAGTAACGAACCGTGGGTTATTTTTTAGCCAAGTTCAAGGAGACCGTTGCCACCCTAGGAGGAGTGGATATTGTTATTAACAATGCCGGTATCATCGATGAAATCAACTTCAACCATGCGATTGACGTTAATGTCGTAAGTACTTTCCGTCTGGTTGAATAGAAATAATAAATTTACTATTCGAAAAGGATCTCAATGAATTAAACTACCCTGGATATAAATCCATTAAAAAGAAAAAGAAAGTGGATTTAAATTCAATTAAAATTTCACTTTCTTTTCTGTGTACATAATCATGGGACGGATAATTACCGTCGTTGCAAAGAGACTAATTTAGAGATAATTAAGTATCAAGAATAATTCGGGTTAAATAGACTGATTTCCTTATCAAGACGGCGCTGATACGATGCACGCTATTGGGTATTCAACAAATGGGAAAAGACTCCGGAGGGAAAGGTGGAGTTATCGTCAACGTTTCCTCCATCTTAGGACTTGACGGTATTCCTCAACTTCCGGTCCACTCCGCCACAAAACACGCCGTCCTCAGTTTTAGCAGATCTTTCGCCGTAAGTTTGATCGTTTTATCATCTTATCATCTTATCATCTCCGATTATTCCCCTCTCTCAAACTACCTGCCCTTCAGAGTTTCGACTGTTAAATTTAGCCCTTTAATCCAATTGCTTTGAATACTCCAAAATAAAAGCACGTGACATCCCCCTCAAGAGCTTGGCTGAGAATTAAAAGCTCATCTGTCTGTAATCATTTATCTGACATGATGAATTCCTTATAAATCAATTTACTTCTCTGCCAAGAACTGTTTACTTTATTCTTTAATCTCGTGTTTTTTTTTTTCAGCAACCTTATCACTATCAGAGGACCGGGGTTCGAATCATCGTCTTGTGCCCAGGATTGACAGCAACGCCTATGATGGAGAATCTCAACGAGAAGAAAGTAACGGACTTCGAGGAATTAGCCAGAATGACGCAGAATATCCCCCCTCAGAGGTGAATACACCTTGAATTGATTTTAGAAAAAATTTCTACATACAATTCACTTCTTCGAGTCGATATTAAACGATTATCGAATTCATTGCTCTTTCTCTTTCAGGGCAGAAAGCGTTGCTCATGGAATAGTTTACATGATAAGGTGCGCCCAAAACGGCAGCGTTTGGGTCAGCGAACATGGAAAGCCAGTTTACGAGATACAATTGCCGGATATTCTTCCCATCAAAATGAAAGAAGAGTTTCTATAAATATTTCGAATCTCGCAAGATCTCGTAATCCCTGAAATTTCACGCTGGATTAAACATCGCGATTGGTTCGAAACCGTCCTAAATTTAGGCACCTGGCATCGTACTATTTCATTCCTACGGCTCTTTAATTGTAATTACAACTCTAGCTTATGTTTGTTGATAGCACTTTGAAAATTGATAAGGACAGGAGGACGTAACCCGTTCTTAAGAAATTAGAGAAAGTTATAGCGGATATTTTATGACTGTTTCTAGGGGTTCTAATCGGTCGATAGCGTAGAAGGAACTTTAATTAGTCCGCATTGTTTCGCTCTATGTAATCGTTGCAATGGAATACATCGCATAAGGCGGATATGTCCTATCGTAATGATGTCTCATTGAAGAGACGAAGTCTTCTATTATGGCGAGAACTGTAAATATTTTGGTGGATAAGAAATCTGAGTGGCAAGTATCGCGCGTATCGTCTTGGAGAGAACGTAGCTTAATATTGAATAGTATTTATATGTAATAATGTTAGCCTAGTAGTGAATTCTCTACGAAGTTGTTCTCGGTAATTTTCCGCGTTTGGATTTGCGACGTCCATACTGATAACACATACATCAACGATAAACTCTAATGGTATTTTCGCGGTTATCGGCGAAAGAAAGCATTTTTTTTTAATAATTCGTCGCTCTAATAATTCATCGGAAAAGTTCTATCGAACAAGGTGGAAGTTTTTTTCCAGACGTTCAGCAATGAATTTTCACTATAAACCGAACTTTGCAACGAGCTCAGTCGTTAAATTTAATTTATCGACGTTTATGGAAGAATACTTTTCAAGGAATATCGCGCGACCATTATTGCGCCCCTCTAAAGCGCGAGGTCTATTGTTCAGACGAGTCAAAGACTGCGAAATAAAAGTTTCGTATTTTATTAAAGAGCTTGCTAATTTATTACGTCGCCTAACCTTAGCCAATGCATGTACCGAGTCATTATCTAAAAAATAACGACTCGGGAGGGAATTACAATTCGATAAAGAAAAATAACCAGACACCTATCAGGAGGTCAAGAGAAATTCAACGCAATTCCGGAAATACATCCTCAATCAACATGGCAAATTAATCAATTCTCTGATGTCTGCCTCCAATCATGTGTCAGTAATTTCCGAAGTCATTCGGTGTCTACGGGAACGAAGACTAAATCCGTAGAAGAGGGTAAAACTAAGTCAAGCTGCTATCGCATCGACCGATAACCCGATCACCTCCGATCTTTCGGTAGTTCCTCCTCAGGAGCAGTCGAAGTTTAGGGGGTCCTAAATTGATCTCTTTATCGGCTTATCACGGACCTCTTGCTGCGATAAACGTGGCTCTATAACAAGAAATAAGGAGCCGCCATATTTACTATCACAAAAAAGACCACGAGTCGGAATACCACCGAGGCACTAATTCTAGAAAATTGCTGCGCCCTATCCTAAAGGCTAAAACCTTAGAATTCATTTAAATGACATACTTTAAATGAATTCTTTCACATCGGAATTCCGAAAAACTCATGACCGAACCAGCATCCCTGAAAATCTTCCACCTTAGTCTTGAAAGGTTTTAATTAATTATTTTAGCACTTGCCAGGTTCAGGCATTTCCACCTCTTGTTAACACTAATTACAGTCACCCAGTTGAGTCTCTGTACAATGCTGGTTTAATTTAGAAATTCCGCTAGCTTCCCCAGAGAAAAGAGAAGACTCGCTTCGATCAGCACCGTTTTATCTTCGTATTTTCATTCGTATCGTTAGGGTAAAGTTCGCTCGGGATTGGTTCGAGCCGGTTCGAGAACTACTAATTCATCGAATATTCATCAACATTTCTCCGACAAATCGCACCCGAGGACGTCGTAATGCATCGCGAGAAATGTGGGCCACATTCGTCGATGTGATCATTTTCTATCTCTCCATTCTGTTTTCATCGAGAAATGTCAACCCCACGAGTTCATGGTTGTGGATTATGTATATTAATAATTTTTAAATTATATAAAAAAAAAAAATTATAATACGTTTCTTTTTCGTACAAAAAAAAAAACAAAGAAAAAGAAAAGAAAACCCTTTAACCTGTATTTAGTAAAAAAATCGTTTCTAAAATTTGTTTATTAAATGATTGGCCTCAATCCGACGAGTGTTCTTTCTCCTCCACGATTAACTTCAATCATCGTCACTCATAATTAACATTAAACATTCTCCATTATCGTATCTACGATCGAAAAAATCTACCCGGAAAAAGGATCTTCACGCGTGCCAAATTGAACTGAGATATCGAGGTCATGTAACGTGGGTATAAGAGTCATCGATGACGAGGAAATTCGTTTCGTCGACGTACAGACATTTCCTTATCGCCTCGTGCCTTGCTCCAGATACGAAAGATTCAGTGAATCATTACGAAAAATGATTTTTCATCTGGACTTAACGCTTCGTGAACTTGCCGTTCCTACCCTTCATTGATTTGCATATGATATGACAGAATATAAGAGAACAATTAATCTGGTAAAATGAACAAAAAAAAATCTATGACCGCATCTGTAGAAGCAATTCGCTTGCATTATTGCCAGTAATTGGCTTCCTTATTTAGTAGCTCTACGCATCACTGATAATTGCGGCAAGAAAATTTTTCTGCTTTGAAAAAATGGAAGTAGAGTCAATCAGCCAGCCTGTCAGCTTTCGTCAACATTGTTGGCGTTTATGCGAGTAAAGGCGCCGGTTGAGATCATGCTCTCATATCGTTCTCACAGATTTTATTCTGCGGTCATTGCTCTACATCGAACGCCACTTTGCACTCCGTGTAAACTCAATGCCTCCTTCCTTCGTTTTGCAATCGATCATTCTCATATCACGCTCCTCTCATTCGCGCGATCTTTCAAGGAAATCGAGCAATGACGCCAAATTCGGTAGAAAACGCACGCGAGGGTAGCTGGCGTTACGATTCATTCTTGATCATGACCTATGACCCAAAATATTGAACATCGACTCATTGAAATTCGACGAAGAGTACTCGACCTTAAAGACCCTCCCTCATAGCGATAAAGTGGCACCTAGAAAAGTCATTTACGATGTTCTGCAACGAGCGAGGTTTCGCAAAACAATAAGCGCGTGATTATATTTCCATAAAATGACAGGACTACCAAGTACATATAAAAACCTGCGCGAACGGCACGGAATACTTAACGCGAAGATTCAGGACATGGGAGGTAAAAAAAAACGGCGATAACGAAAGAAATCTGAGAATAAAAGTTAACAGTTAACTTGGGCGCATTTTAGGATTAAAAAAAAGAAAATTTATATGAAACAAGTGCACCGAATTAGCTATCACAAATTGTGGGCTAAATGGTACCATAAATAATTTCGAATAAAAAGATCCGCTCAAGCGGGACAAGAGATCGAGTCGTTATCGTGGATATCGATCCCCCCATTTCCTTGATGCAGAAGAAAGTCCATGGTCCGAGAAGGTTATTAACAGACGCAGAAGACGGAACGCGACCTTGCGAGGAAACGGCTGACTTATTTTAATTTTATTCTCCCAGAAGGAAGTGCATCGTCTCGAGTTCTCGAGAGATCGGTCCGCTCCATAAGCGGAGAATCCCCTCTCTGGGGATCGACACGCGTTCTCCGGCGAAGTGCGATTAGGAGCTGTAATCAAAAGGCGACTAGTCGTCGTGTTCATCAGTCCGGTATAAATATCATAAGACAGCCTCTGGAGAGGTTCAGTCCTATCCAAGCCACGTCGCCCACTCAACTTTCGTGTAAAACGGTCTACCGATCGAATCATCGAGACCCCAGGAAAATGGGTACGTTCGAATAATTCGGCGCCAATCGATAAGATTGAAAATCCATACCCAGAGGTACATTTAATCAGGCCGAGAGACCTCGATGAAAAGCGATATAAAATTTCGCCAGTTAATCTAAGCGACTCCGAGGACTAAGATGCAATTTCAGGGATTTACGGAATCCCCTTTCCAACGACTGCAGTCTGATTAGGAGCTGTAATCAGACAGAAACGACTCGCCGGCTTGGACTTCAGTCCGGTATAAATACCGCGGATGAACCTCTCGCAAAGTTCAGTCATAATCGAGAGACGTCCTCGTCGTTCTGCTCGTTGCAGAATTTCGCTAAGCGTCGTTAAACGTCGAGAAAAACGTTCACAGAGAGAACCGCGATACTTTCTCCGTATCTGGGCTTACTCGCTAGGGTGGACTTTAATCCGGTATGAATATAAATCAGGGTCTATGGCGTGCTTAATTGCAATTTGAAAGAGTAACTCGAGACCTTACGGAATGAGTAATTCGATATTAAAAATTCTAGCTCGGAAAGTAACGGGTGGCCCTTCGTGATTATGAAATATTTATGAATTCATTTCATTCCGATAACGACTTCGTCGATTCTTCGACAGCTTCCGAGTCGATCACAGTTCGAGGTCGCAGGATGTCGGCATCGGAGAAGGCGAAGGAGATCGAGGAGATCAACGGAGTCGTTTCCGGAAAGAGTATCCTGATTACTGGAGGAGCTTCCGGACTTGGTTTCGCCTTTGTCAATCACTTCCTCCATCACAGGGCATACGTGAGTATCGTCGACTTATCGAAGAACATCCATTCCCTTCTTCACAAACGTTGCCACCAAGAGTGGCATTATGCACATCCCGATGTTACAATAATTTAGGATTCCTTTCACAGATGGTCGCCATACTGGACACCGACAAAGAGGCAGCGAAACGAGCGATGAATTCCGTGGAGAAGTCATATGGAGAAGATAAGGCGATCTTCATCCAGGTTGACGTATCCAACTACGAGAAGATGAGCGGTAAGTCCGACTAGACCCTTTTTCCTTAGCTTTACATACTCTCCCAACAATTACCATTATCCCTACAATGAATTAAGCGAATGAATAATTCTCCTCACGAGTGCAGAAGCTTTCGAGGAAGCTTCCAAGGCGATGGACGGAATCGACATCGTGGTGAACAACGCCGGCATCTTGGACGAGAGAAGATGGGAACGGGAGATCGCGGTGAACATCGTAAGGAGCCTGTGAATGACAAAAATGAGAAAATCCATAACAAGACTGGAAATTGAAAGATCTTGTGATTATTCAAGGGTGGAGCAGTGACAACCGCGATGCTAGCCATGGAATACATGAGGAAAGATAAAGCAGGACGTGGTGGAATTCTGGTAAACGTCTCTCAACACGTGGACTACAGGAGCACCGCCCAACTTCCAGTCTACACAGCGACTAAGCACGCGATAATCGGCCTCTCCCTCTCTCTATCCGTAAGAAGCGACAACAAAAGAGTCCGGACACGTGACAACGAAAGTCCATACGCACCATTGAACCCTCGAGATTTTTTCAACAAAAATCCTTTCCAGGCTCCATTCCACCAGGAGAGAACCAGAGTCCGCGTCCTGACGATATGCCCAGGCCTGACGGAAACCGCACTGACGATAGAGAGCCCCAACAAGCTTCTATCCCGAGTCATGAAGGCCGACTTCGTGAAGAACCTGGAACAGTTTTCGATACAAACGTCAGTACACAATGGAGTAAAAGATCGCGGGAATTTTTTTTTCTTTTTTTTCCTCCATCAAAATGGTCCTATTCGATGACCTCGACTCACTTTTCGGTGTGTCTCCTTCCAGGCCGTACATCGTGGGTCAAGGACTCATGTCCGTCCTAAGGATCGGAGAGTCCGGAAGCATTTGGATAATCGAGAGTGGCAAACCTCCCTACGAGGTGTACTTCCCCGATTGCCGAACCCTTCGACGCCACTACAAGAATAATTTCACTGTCGTCGAGGAGGTCAACAAGGTTGCGAGGGGTCGGCCCATCAGAGAAGAGTGCGACAACACGCGGACGGGCCTCATGAGCTGTGCGTAACAGTGACTGAAAAGGCCAAATCTGCCTAATTGCATCCTGCTGAGCCTGCATTGAAAAAACGCGGCTCCGAAGGCGGCGACTCCGCCAGGTCGACCCGAGGGAACATTCTCTGGAAGTACATCGCCTCTTCCATGATCCAGGACCTCGAAGGATAGGATTCACGCTGGTCAAGGATTGGGAGGCAACAAGATATACATATGAGATTCGTCTCCTGGACCAAGAGTATCCAGACATCGAAGATCGAGCACTTTTCGCGATCCACCGCGAAAATGTGGAAATGCGCATCGATGAATCATGCTAGTGGCTATTGTCTACGAAGGGCGATCACCTATTCACTCACGCCGGGCTGTGTTCCAAGCTTATCGATAACGAACAACAATTCCCATGACACAGCTTTCGTCAACCTCCCGCCAGAGCGTAGATAAATAAATATTGAAAGATATTTGAAGATAAGAGGTAAATCATCCCTCGCGCCCTGCTCAATGGTATAACGTTAGCATCTAACTTCGAGACTCCAGCAACTGAATCGGTTATAGGATGAAAAAGAATCGAAGGGAAATGTAACGACACGATATTCAGGAGATAAGGGACGAGAGATCGACGGTGCTCGTATAAGTACGACCGGTGAATTATTTCATCATCTCAGTATTATTCAGCATCGAGAGAATCACAATATCCGCTGTACAAAACAAAACATCCTTTGTCAGAAAATCGCGAGCATCGTATTCTCCATCAACCCCACGTTATTCCGCGCGCGCGTTGTATACCAGTCCGTCCATAATTGCGTGATGAAACTTAAAGCTTATATTTTCTCCATACTATATTTTTTTTGTGCTTCCACTTTTTCTTTACCCCGATTTTCTTGATTCGACCCTCGTATCATCTCGTACCCTAGAGAGGTTCCTCGCCTCGTAACATGACCAACTGAATCTCTAGCTGTACGAATAATATTTCTATGCATAGGACCCCGTGTGCAGAAAGCCATACAAAAATAACAGCCGCGAGCAATCTTTCTCTCGGTACAGTTCTTCCCCAGTGCATCCGATTAGCTCATGTCTGCCTCGAGATAAGTATCATTCACGGATTCCCTGCGACCGTGTGTACACCAGGGCTCGCGCCTCCGAATACAAACGTGCAAATACAAACGCCCAGAAGGCGTCGTCGACGACCTCGAGATACGAAAGCGCCGAATCGGCTCCTCCAGGGAGCCCCATACCCATCTCACGCTTTCCGTACCTCCAAGCAGTCTTGCGCCCTTCGACCCAATGACAAGAACCAGTATTACGTTCCGTTCCCTCCCCCGTAAAAAAAGAAAAAAAAAAAAGAAAGAGAAATAACATACGACGAATACATACGCGTTGCGCATCCCGCAAGATCTTCCCCGAGGAAAGCTACCCCCCCTCGAACGGAACGTCCTGGCGCTCGTAATTGGACGATAGTATATATACCATAAACTCGCGAAGATGGCTGCGAGACCGGTGCACCGCGCGAAATCTTTACGGAAATATCCACCATGGCCGGAGACAACGATTACGCGTGTTCCAGTTAGAAAAATCAAAACCTCTGGTAAGTATATAAAAGTAAAACAATTCTTTTCGCCTTAGCAGATATACGGTCATCATCTTAAATAATTATAAAGTATCTGGCTGTTCTCGGAATACGCCTGGCAATATATTGTCCTAATCTACTGGCGACAGGATGCATTTCATTCCTCCCTCCCAGCCTAACATCCCTCGAGGTCAAGGGGCACGGTTGTCATAAGAGAACCTCGAGCTCGAGCGGGCCCCCAAAATTCGATGACGGACGTGCAATTCGGCCCAGGCAATATTCAAATCTTCGAGTCGACCACATCCGCACACTGGGCACGCGCGGCAAAACGCTTAGAAATTTCCGTGTCAAACGGAAGCGCCCCCCACCCGAAAAAAAGAAAAGGAAAGAAACGAAAAAAAAGCCGAGTACACATCTGAACGGGAACTCGTACGAGGCAAACGCGAGGCGGAACGAATGCCTTTTACTCGGACGTGCACGCGGTAATGAATGGAATTGTTCGAGACAATAAACGGACATCTTGGCGAATGGCATTCGGACAGCCTCGGATGGCGCGTCGAACGATCCCTGGCAGGTTTCTCGCATTTCGATCGTTTGACCACATTCGTATGTTCGCCTTCTCTCGTCCGCGTCCTTGCTCGGACGTGTACCTGGCTGAATAATTATACCGAGCGTACGTGGACGAACAATTGAACAGTGGCGGGGTCGAGCTTGTACTAGAAACTTGAATCGCACAGGGTCCAGTTCCCGAGTTTAGGCAGCCCTCATGCCTCATTTCCATATACGCGGAAAGCACGCGGAGTCGATGCGGAATGGCCCCGAGAGGGCTTAACCAATCAGCCTAATGCTTTAAGTTTAACGCGTTGATTCCGCGTGCTTTCCGCGTATATGGAAACGAGGCATTATCGAGCCCCTCGAATGACAATGGAGCTACGGTTCGCGCGGACTCGTCTCACTTATACATCCCACTTGAAATTTCTTCGAGTAATTCTAGCAAAGGAATCGATGCTTACTCCTAGAAGTAGCCGAGACGTTCCACCGCGTTCGATGATACACGGATGGTCCTCGGCGAGATCGCAGGCGACCCTAGCGACGTGAGCCCCCGCGCGACTCTCGAAATAATTTTACAATTCTTTAGTCGTATCGTCTCCTCATTTCGAGCACTATTTCTCATTCGGAATTCGTAGGCGCGACTCCTATTATCGGCACATATCGGATCATCACGAGACTCACCTGTATTAACTATGATAGACTTAATCCATTTGGACTCCTAACGTTAACCCTCCTCGTTACTCGTATAAGCTCTCTGGCGCAGCTTCGCGTATCATTTCGACGCCGTGCAAGACGGACACCTAGTTAATCACGGCCTACCGAATGCCTCGACCCTCGTGAAAATTCGCAGTGCACTCCAGTTTCGCATGCAGACGCGGCCGTAAATTGATCCCAGTAACTTCCGCCACCCGGATGCGATCCCTCCGCGATCCGAAATGTCCAGCATTCACGCCGTTAACGGTAACTCCCCGATTGAAGTCGCTACCCCACACGTCGAAACTGGGCGGTGCATATCTTGATTTAGACGAAACGAAGACTTCTGGCCCATTCCCTAAGTTCCATCGACCGCGATGCGTCCATCGAAAATACATCTTCCTCGTGAATAAATCGGCCGGGCCGACCGATCGAGACTCGCGGCGCGAGGAATACTGGCTCGGAGTTCTCGGCACTTCCCCCTCCGGGTTAATTGACTTGACGTTCCGCGAGAGAGATCGCCGAGGGCGTTAGAAATTACGTTCGAAAGACGATCCTTCCGGTCGAAGGATCTAATCCAAAGGTAGTACTCGGTACCGCTTAAAGAACGGGCTCTCTCCCGAGAGTCCTGGGTGCCAACGGAGTCCTTCCTCGCCCGCCGTCAAATCGCGCCTGCTAGTCAGTCTAGCGCCTCGTGAACGCACCACGTTCGTGCAAGTACTCTAAATTAATCCGTTAGGTTACCACTATTTATCGATTTCCAAAACTCGAATCCATATCAGTCCAGGGGGCAGAGCGCGTATTGTAAAATCTTATCGGCTAACGAATACTTAGGATTAGTGGCGCGTCGCCGGGTTCCTGGCCGGCGCTTACGCGGTCTCCGTTATCAGGCGGTTGTCCTGCTGCGATTGCGCCGAGGGCTGCTCGTTGGTCGTGCGATTCTGGTTGGTCGGATTGCTGTTCGAGCCTTGGTTCCCGGGTTTTCGGTTGGAGCCCCTGTTGCCTCGGTAGCCGCCTCGGTAGATTCCGGAAGGTCCGGTGCCACTTCCGCCTCCGCCGCCTCCGCGATACATACCGCCCATTCCGCGGTTGTAGTACCCGCGGCCACGGAATCCCCCGCGTCTAGTAGAAGGTACGCCGAACGTTTCCGAGTTCAGTTTGCGCTCCGTCTTCCAATCAGTGCGTTGAGATCTCCTGGTGACAGATATTATTGATTCAGTATTTGACGATTAACTCGAAGCGTCTAAAGACTACGGACAGATTTTTCCAATTTCTTAGATTTGAAGAGAACGGAAACTGTCACGTCTACTTCAGGAGAAACGTATTATCATTTGAAAACGGCGATGACAATTAATTTTTAATCAGAGATAAACTGTGATTATATGTGCTTACCCTTTACTTCTTTCGACTGCTTCGCAGCTAATGTTATCGAAGAATGATTTGGTCTTGTCGTAGTGAACAACTTCAGGCTCCTCCTCGGGTTCTCCTTCCCCAGCACCAGTCTCATTACCGCTATCATCCTTCTTCTCATTATCCGCCCCGTCGATCTTCGTCTTCGCTAATTGAGACCTGAAATCATAAAATTACGTTCAGTCGTTTGCACCAGGGAGATTGTCACTGCTTTACTGTAATTAGATTTTAATATCTATCTTGAATGACAGTAGAAATATTAGTGTGGAAGAATAAAATTTATCAAAATATAAAATAAGACCGAGGAAAAACCTTGTACATATGAAGCGTAAACTGAACAGGTACTTCAACCAACGTCAGCTTTAATAACATATGATTTACTTTTGCATGGAATCTGCGTTTATCGCATCTATTGATTTGTGATACGAACTCGATACTTTCCATGCGAAAAACTGACAATTTCACAATAAATATGAAAAGTAACAAACCTCAGTTCTTCGAACTCCGTGTTAGCTTGCTCAAAGTCAAAGTCGTTGTCGAATTTAAGTGTATTTTTCGGCTTCGTACCAGCATTACCCGCTGGATTGACATTTATGAAATATCGGTTTCGTCCTCGACCGCGAACATTTCCACGTACAACCCAACCACCACGATTTCCACGACCTGGACCTCCACGAGGAGCCTGAGGATGACCTTGCATATGACCGTCTTGTTTGCTTGAATCTCGATGTTCTTCGTTATACTGCATCATGTTACCACCGGTTCGTGCTGTTCCATGACTGTGCACATACAATATATTTTCAGATACTTAATCAAAACAACGAACTTATTAAATTGTGTATCTTTAAGGTATTGCAAATTTCGTTTAAAAAATTGTACGGGTTAATTTGATAGTCACCTTTCTCGAGTGCGATGCTGAGGGTGAACTGGCCTAACGTTAGTCTTATCATTCATTTTATTCCCAACATTGGTATTAGGTGGTTGTTGTTGCTGCTGTTGTTGTTGTTGCTGCTGCTGTTGCTGCTGCTGGTGGCCCACTTGAATACCTTGGTCCATGGTCGGGCTTTTTCTTGTCAATAGGGACGAATTTGGCGTCGTGGAGCGTGAACCTCCACTTATCAGATCAAGTACACCTGCATTTATATGGCAATTAATTACTAGATTTCTAACCAATCTCATCAAATATATAATTAATCTACAAAAACATTTTTCAAAGAAATCTAGCATTAAAATGGGTTTTTTTATTCATTTAGGTTTTCATCAAAACCGAGCGATAAACATTCTATGATTTTATTGCGTAAATCTAATCTACATGACCAACTGTTGTTGCTATGTAATAACGCATTACTGCACAATGCATGTAATAGATGCGTGCAAAACAATGCACTCATTACATTCAATTCATGCTTCCGATAATTGAAATAACAAAGGTTTTCATTTGCCAAGGAAAAAAAAAATTAAAGTATTATATGTAACAGAAAACAATACGATCATAAAGAAAACTATTAAAGCGAACATTCCTGAAAGGAACATAATATATTATGTATGTTTGCAAAAAGCGGTACAATGAATTCTAGTAATTGAAATTACTTCATAGATTTCTTTCTTTCTACTTTCTACTTTCAAAGATTTAAAACAGATATGAAGGTATAAAAGTAGTAGCGATAGAATTTAAGGAGAGAAAAACCATATAAAGCATCTATTTATTTAGCAAAGCAAGCAAAACATAATGAAAAATGAGTTTCTAACAGCTAGTATAAGGAAAGTGAAGTGATGCGAGTAGGCGGATACCATGCTCAAAATATACTATCTATAGAATGCAAAAATGTGTACCAAAGCCAGAGCAAAATGAAAAATATGAAGCGAAATGCATTACCAAAGAACGAGCAGCAAGCATGCTATTGGCGAAGTGAATTTTATATAGCAAAAACAGTTTACCATCTTCCAGAGATTGGTCTTTTGGCAATAAGTCGACGTTGGCCGACATAAAAGAGTTTGGGACAGAGATGGCTTTGGATTCAGTGGAACCCAAGCTCAACTCACTTGGCTGTTTATTCATGGGTCCACGAGGATCCCTACCAGCAGTAGGCATTCCCATAACAGGTCCCATTGCCCCCATTGTCATACCATATGGTGTACCATACTGCCCACCCATTGGACCCATTTGACCCATCATTGGGTGTCCATAGCCATGTTGTGGCTGGTACGATTGCTGACCCATGCTGGGTTGTACTGTCATCTACGAGAAGAACATAAAGATATATCATTTTTCTATGTTCTGAAATTATAATAAACATGACAAATAATCACTACAAAATAAGTGTATAACACTCAATCAAAATACTTATTAATGAATTCATTACCTGCACAATTGCTGGATCATTGGGAATCGAGCTGACGCTATTAACAACTCGAATATCTTTTATATCTGAACCACGGAACAAAATGTACTCGTACACCTGATTTTGGGGAGCAACTGGAAATTGTGTCTCCCGATCCTCGGTTCCAAAGGAACGCACTGTAAGAAATATCATATCATTATCAATTTTCAAAATTAAGCATAACTATAAATCGCACAATTGTCTGCAATCGATAGAATTTGTTTAATCGAAATATAACTCCCGTATTAAGTTTAAGTTAGTCTTGAATCATTAATTTTGATTAATTCTTCAGAAATGTCACCTCCATTATTATTCTTATTCGCTTTAATCCTATCAAGACATCAAATAATAATTGTGTTTACTTCTGTACTTGTAACGGCTACATCAAGGAGACACGGCTTCAAGACTGTAAACAGAGCTTAACCAAAAAAAGTGGCATACCTCTGAAATACTTCTGAAGGAATTCTAGCTAATCTAGCTAATACCCACTCGAAATTGAAATTGGAATATTTGAACAAAATCATGGAATGCTGTACCTAATAATAAAACTAATCGCAAAAATCTCCAAATGTCCCAGTCTCGGACGTTGACAATGTATGATCTAGCCCAATTAGAAGTTTAAACAATATTTAACTGCGAGACGATTAATAAAAGAAAATGATTGAATTGAAAATTACACCACCCACTAGATGTAAAAATGATTTAGAACTTTTGGACGTTTCAAAATATTTCCTTCGAGCAACGGAGGGTGGTAACTGCTGGGCAGTTCGGGAATACTCGAGGAATGAATTATGTTCTCCTTGATGCTAACGCTAATTTCTTTTGAATTTTTGTTAACACAGAGAATTACGGAAACATCCGTTATAAAAGGGGTGCTAGGGTGACCCCGATTGATGACGCGATCTTGGCTAATCCCGATAACCGAATCCTTTCTTCCTTCCTGTCTCATTACCTCGTCCTTCCAAATGTATTCGTAAGGATAACTGAAAGGTGGATGTATACGAAATGTGTAAGGGACATCGAGGAAACGCAATAGCCGGGAAGTTCGAGAGAATAAAGCGAGTGTACGTGGCGACATCGTAGCCGGGAAATGGTGTAGCTGCGGCGAATGGATACTTCGGAATCCATTTTGAATCGGACTTACCATTGGCCAAAGCGATCGTGCATTCTTGAGGATCGACGGTGAAAAGCCGGCCTTCATATCGAATATCCGCCTTCGATATGAGGCTGATCTTCGAGCCTAGCTCCGGCATTCCAGCGCTCATCTTGAACCTTTTTCCTCCTCTCGGCGATTGACGTGATATTACAGGATTCGCGACACCATCTAACGAATCTCACCAGTTGACACCGATATGGTCGACTCACTCGCGCATGCGCAGACTCGTCTTCAGGTTAGCCAACTAGTCACATGAGCGACGCGCGCGCCATTAGAGCCCGCCAAAAGGCGTCAACTCGCCGTATCTATAACCGCCCACCCTAGAAAAATATCTCTCTGCATTTACCCATCAAGTATACGTCTTTTAACTGAAATAATAACGAAATCAATAAATTTTCCCCATAAAGAAACAGTCCTCCAATGATCGAAATAAATCCTTGAATTGATACAACGATTGCCCCCAATCGGCTTAAGCGGTGGGGGCTGGGGATAGTAAATTTGATGGACGTTGAGTTTTTACATAACGGTAAAGAAAAATTATCTACATAAAAATAATCGATAACTATTTCTCTTAAGACAATCCCACAATTTTTCATGCTAGATGCGTATTGTAATATGGTTTTAGATAAGCCTTTTGCAGCAAGTTTCGTCCGGCTTAGGATAACCTGAAAGAGTCGATCGTAAGTAGCAAGTTGGTAAGCTTGATGGAAGCAATTTGACTCTTGCCACTGTTAGTAGAAAATATTCCTACAGACTTAAGATATAAAAGGGTGCGGTATTAAAGTATGTATTATTCCTCCTTAAATATCTGAAATAAAGTCATTGATCCACACTGCGTTTAATAATATTTACTTGATGGCAGTTATACTGTTGACTACCGACCCCTGCACATTGCACCTCTGGCCAAGATGGCGGCTTCGTTAGGAAGGATCTGCGGGTCTGGTCTTCTAAAATCAAATAATGGAGCATTGCTTAATCAGGTATCTTAATATAATCGCCTATCGGTTTCTATAGCTGTTCACTAGTTGCTTTGAGAAAATTCCGTTGGTAATTGCGGCTTTCCTTGTAGTACTTGGTAACGTCTTATGTTCGCCTCTAAGTAGTCTATTGAGCAGCAACCCATCTTGTCGGCTGCTATGACACTTTTCTGTCGGATATCCATACATTTAAAGATTTAAATGCCCCTTTCTCCTATCTCGAGTTGTATCCGACTGTCTCGTGTAAATTTACAAAAATCTCTGGTGATCGGTTCTCACATGTTATGTAATAGTGATTCGTCCCAAAAATCAAGATGCTGCCATGATCAACATGCTTCAACCCAAAAGTGGCAGTTGATCTGATGTCTGAAAGTGATTGCAAATTCTGACATTTTGGCATTGATTCCTATACTCCACCGGTCCTACGCTTACAAGTTTCATTCAAGATTCTCTGTCATGTTATTTTGGAACATATTTACTATCCGTTATTGACATCGTTACGATGCAAATACGGGTATGAAATTTACCTATATTTCAATGATTGAATTGTTTATAGGCCTGTAACTATTCAACGGTCAGAGGATGGTCAAGGGGTCGAAAAGCGGTAGGTGTTATTTTGGAATCGTAAGGACGCACCTTTACCCTGTAACCATCCTTAAGCATTATCTACTAATCCCATATCCCTTCCTGCTTAACCTCGTAGTAAGTTGTAATATGATGTTCTGATATAATAAAATGTAAAAACAGCTTTAAGTAATCTTTGGTTTTATAATCAATTTTTAGTTAATGACATGCTTGGGAGTGGCAGCCGGTGGAGTAGGAGCCTTAGTATATGCCTTGGAGACTTCGGTAAAAGCCGATGAATTAGTGGCTCATCCTTCAACCTATGGCTGGTCCTTTTATGGTTTAATCAATTCTTTAGATCATGCAAGGTATTTTAAAACTATTTTATAACATATAAATGAACAATGTAATGTAAGAATAATGTTTCATACTATTATGATGATTGAGGTGTTAAATGTTATGTAATTTGATTTTTCTATGCTTAGTATGAGACGAGGATGGGAAGTGTACAAAAATGTGTGTTCAGCCTGCCACAGCTTGCAATATGTGGCTTATCGTCATCTTATAGGTGTAACGCACACCGAAGCAGAGGCAAAGGCCCTTGCAGAGGAAATTCAGGTGCACTGACTTTTTCATATGCAAAAATGTTTTAATTATATGTGGTTATATATATGTATTTATTTATTTATTCGTGTGCATATATTTTTTCTAACTAGGTTAAGGATGGACCTGATGAAGCGGGTGAATACTTTATGCGATCTGGAAAATTATTTGATTATGTACCATCTCCATATCCTAATGAAGAGGCTGCACGGGCTGCAAATAATGGTGCTTACCCACCCGATCTCTCTTACATGGTCAATGCAAGGCATGATGGAGAGGTAAGAAATTAATATGTTTTTATTGAATCATCAATGTTCTTCAAAATATCGAAAAATTCATTGTATTAACAAGGAAACTTTTCTACCTTCAGAATTACGTTTTCTCATTGCTGACGGGATATTGTGACCCTCCAGCGGGCATACCTGTGAGAGAGGGTATGTCCTTTAATCCATACTTCCCAGGTGGGGCTCTCGGTATGGGACAAGTAAGTTAATCTAATGAGTCTTTAATAAACATAAACTAGGAATAGTTCTTAATAATTTTAAATTTTAAGTAGTATAAAATATATTAAGGATTAAACTGTACACTGTTTAACACAGACGTTCTAGTTATTAATATTGTGTTTCATGTAGATCATTTATGACGAAGTGATGGAATATGAAGATGGTACACCACCAGTCGCATCGCAATTAGCTAAAGATGTCACCACATTCCTCATGTGGACCGCTAACCGAGAACATGATGAAAGAAAACAGATGTTTATAAAAGTAAGTGGTTTTTTTTTTAATTTCTGAAACTAATCCTGTACCACGTACGTGATACATCATATTCTGTGATTTTCAGGTCATGGGATTGTTTTCGATCATGCTAGGCGTTTGTTATTACATTAAACGACACAAATGGTCTGTTATAAAGACCACTAAGATAGCATATGTTCCCAAGAAGTAGTCAAATACTTAAGTCGCAAATTGATTCAATCGTTAGCCCACAAAAACTATTGGAACAGTGCTGCATGCCTGGGAAACAATCGTAGTTTTTTAATTTATATGAAGTAAATGGAGACAGTTGGCGAAGTCGGGCTATCATCGTTACTCATCATAACACCATCAGAAAATTTCACGCCAGCCGCTGACGTCCAATTATCATCGACGCCAAATGATTCAACTTGTACCATGTACATATATGAATTCAAGCAATACCACCATTGCTTGTCAAAATAAACCGTTAAACCATATGTTTATACAGCTGTAAATTGTGCACCTTCGCCATCTATGAAAAGTATCCTTATTACATGTTCACATTTAATTAATTTTAATAATCAAATTGATCGATGTACACACAATTCGAATTGTATACATCTTTATATAATGTTGAGCATGATGAGTATTAGTTCAAATAAGTATGCTGATTCTACTGAAACCTCTTTACAATTTAGCTAATAAATGATTATAGATAAACTTATTTATAATCATTATAATTTTGTTTTTTCAGCTACAATTAATTAACATCGCGCAAATTACATGATACAGCAAAGCATAACAAGAAATACACAAAGATGCCTTTATTGCGACACAAATTGAAATTTTACAGGTTCGATCTACAGAAAAATGAAGATTTGGAAAAAAGATATCTATATTATTCATTTTATATGAGCGTCACAATGCCAGCATGGATAAAAGGATTCACGCATTTGTATATTTCAAATAATTTATTGTGTTATATATATATATACTTTTTTCACTAGAACGTATTATAATAGAAAATCATTTCTAATACGTACTCAAGATAATTCATTGGAACGAAAGCACTCTTAAATGTACATTTGTTGAATTATGTGTCTAATTGCAACTTTTGAATCGTCAAGGCGCAAAAGTAGTAACATTGATTTCTTGTCAATCAAGACACTGAGCGTGTACCTATATATATTGTTTAACGAATTACTATAAATGCGACCAAAACGTATACGTTAAATTCAAAGCGAGGGTACAAGCGTTCTTTCTTACATTAAAAGCAACATTTTGAATGAAAAGGCAATAGGACATTTCTTTCTTTGTCAGTACAATAACTTTTCAGGCTTCAAATAACTGTTCGTAAAGGCGCTGCGCTCAAAAGTTCGTTTTATCAGAAACTACATGCTCCTGCGTTTTTGTATTTTAATACATTGATGCTTTTAAGATATACCCCATGATAGGTAAATATAGATAGGAAACATTTCTCAAATGTTTTTGTAAGTTGAATGTATGCACTGTATATTATCTCCATTAGTAAAATGAAGATAATATTGCCAATTTGTTGTTTAATTAGTCAGCTGTTACAATTTTCCACGATGCAAGATTGAAAGAAGTTGGAAACGAAAGAATTGAGTAAAATCTCGTACAAGTAGATGTAATGAGGACAGTGACAGTAAGATACAGTAAGCAACAGCGGAAGTATTGTTCTAAATTCATATTGGGTACCGGTGCATAAATAGAAGTAATTGCTGGTACCACAATATAGGCATTTACTGCCCCATTTAAAAAACTTCAAAGGCATAAATTTTCTTACTGATTATTTCTTTTATTACACAATCTGTGTTTCCAGTTTTTTAGGTTCAAAATATGACTTCTTGTTTTATATTGTAATAAGCTGGAGAGATTGAATTAGTATATTTAAATTCGTTAACATGTATTGTAGTCTAACAAGTATTAGCAGTTGAAAGTGAGATGTTATCTATAGTAGCAAATAGAATTTTAAAATCTATCGTTACAGCATTCTTATCGAAGAATGAGTTTCACTGTACAAATTCTAAAAACGGTCGCTAGCGAGCACTTCTGAAATGGTACATGTTAATTCCAGGAACCTTGGATCTGGTTCTACCGAATTAAACATACCAATTCAATCTCCCAATCTGTTTTCACCCATTACTCGTAAAGGTGGTTATCCTTAACGTATGTCTTCATTGGGCACCGGCGCAACATTATTTGGTACCTCGATAAGATCTTGCCTCGTGCTACCTTAAAAAGGAAGAGGTGAACGGTTTACACGTTGTTAGGCTAAAAAGTACTGCCCTCCGGTGGCTGAGAAAGCTTCATGTTATCTTTCAGGGTCATTAGACGACGGAGCTCTTGAAGAACTGTTTTAATTGTATACTCTCGTTGCCATTTTGCTAATATGGGCACACTGCGATTATCCACCTATTACAAAAGATATGTCAGTATGGACGATACTCGGAAGCCTTAATTATTAATGTGGACTATGCTTACCGCTCCTGTAGTACCACTGATGTAGCTCATATTAATTCTGGTTAAAAATCTAACATTAGGAGCATCGTCCGGGTATTTCTGACCACATTCAATTTTCAAACTGTACATTCTATTTTCATATGGAGTCTAAAATGAATAAATGACATAACAATTAGGGAGAAACATCAACGTTTTATTAATTCTTAAGCAATTATCAATGGAAATGTCAATGATAAGCTAAATTTTAGAACATTTGGCAGCAACTTACCCTAGGTGGTCCAATGATCATACCGGTCCAATGCGTAAGGGTCATATCGTCGTCATTTTCTAAACCCCAACTAATTGTGCCGTCGCCAACCCCCTTTTGCCCTTGTTCTAATTCCTCGAGCAGGCGAAAGTTCCGTGGTACGACTAAGAAAGAAGAGCATAAGCCATAATCATTAAATTCACATGTCGTAAGGAAGAACAGCGATGTTAGTTCAGACAGGTTAGCTCATCGAACGAAGCATCCGATAACCTCATTGAAATTGTGTAACCATGAAGTCCATATAACGATACTTAAATTATTAAGAAATTCTGAAATCTCGTAATAGTAAAATTAACGATGCATCTAAAGCTTCTGCAATATATTCAACACACGTTTAAGTAGGTTCATAACGTGTTAAAGTAGAAATGTGACGGTTCGTGGCACATAAGGCTGACCTGTCAATTAAGTTTTTTATCTATATTGCGTGCCGAAGAAATTTTCTCAAAAGTGAGGCCGAACTGCGAGTCTCTATCGGCAAATAGTTTCAAAGGCAACTGCATAGTGAGGAGAGAAAAACAGCGAGGAAGTACTCACCAACACCGGCCGTGGGTACCGCCATGATCCCGAATTTCTACGGGCCAGAGTATTTTGTTATTTCCAGGAAACCACGCAAACAGTACCGGCTAAGTAGCAGAAGCTTCAACTTTGAAATTAATTTGCCAATTCCAATGCGGAACTCCACATTACCCAGCTCTTAAGCTGATAAATTAATGTCAAATTTCGAAGGGTTAACACCACTTTGCAAAACTTCAGCCAACCTCCGTGAGGCTGCCTGGGCCGTAGAGTACAGAGAACGGAGATGATCAACCGCATTATTGGAAAGTCATCGAGATTAAAATCAGTTCCAGTTCTTCCGTACAGATGGGGCGAGGGTCGCCGAGAAAAAAGAAACCTTTGAACTTTGCAAAAGAGTATTCGGTAGAATATCGAGACATTTCGGACATTACAAAGAAGTGCACGGCTCGCCAATAACAAAGAAACTTCTTTCAGGGTTTTCCAGGAGAAAGACCAATAAATCCATAAATTTCTCTATTGCACCGCAGAACCTGGGACGTCAGATTAGTCCTTCAAACTGCGGGTAGATGGCAGAAGTAACGATACAATAAAATATAAACCGCGTAAAATCTAATACATTACCCTAAATACATTTCAGTGAATTTCTTCGGTCACATTAAACGCTAACTGCTCCGTGCATATTTAATTTCGCCAATAAAAAAAAAGAAATCCCGCTTTGGCCGCAAAGTTCCCCGAAATAAATTGCGGCTTCGATGACGGTAATAAAATACCTAACAAACCTTAACCACTCGGTCAAGTAAAATCGATACGATCCCCCATAAAACCACCCAGACAATTACGAAGCTTTACCCCTTCTCATCCTTTCAATCAAAACCTCGCTAATTTCGGCACAACGAATTAATTTCCCCCCGCACCGCCATTCCAAACAACGCAGCTCCAGATAACGTATGTACCCCTCCCCCCGGGTGGAAGTTTCACCCGCAATAAACATCATTCTAAATGATAAATTCCGTATAATTCATAAATACGCATCCCCTCGCATTAGCGGTCCCACTCTCGGGTCCGACACATAGCATCGAGATAATCAAAGTACCTCATAACGCGTAAACAAAAACACAAAGAGAGGCCAACCGAATCCAAAAGACCATCGACGGGTGGTCGTACGGTCTAACGGGCGGCTCCAGGGGAAAGCGCGCGCTGATTGGCCAGCGCGGGTTGGTTGCTAGGCGAGGAAGAAGGGAGATTAGCCGCAATGGCGGCCGCGTGGGTGGCGGTGGTGGGGGGGAAGAGGGAGTCGTCAGTATCGCGCCGGCTGCGCAAGAGCAGGTCCTCGGGGGCCAAGCGCAGCGGAGTGCTGGGAAGTGCTGGGAAGTGTGGACGAGCACACCGGGGAGCTGCGGCGGCTCAGGGTGCAGGGCTCAGAGGGGAGGTCTCCACCGGGCTACTTCCCGTGACGGCTGCCAGTACCTGCCAGTCGCTGCCAGTCCGTCGCCCCATCGAGGGCGCCTCGTGCGTCCGGAACGCGAGCCGCCTCGAGATGTGCGACAGGACTCGCTGAGAGTCGCCTCACTCTCCGTCTCCGTCCCTCCTGCGAGTCGGCGGATTACATGAAGAAAGAAGAGAGCTCCACGGCGTGACAGGTAAGGACGAAGCTACGATCGCGGTCCCGCCGCCGTCGGCGAATCCAACCCGGAATGGAATCGGCCCGACGCCTATTGTCACCGGGCACTCACCGGTGTCGGTGCTCTTGCGTTAATTAGCGATTAGCGATCGCGGAAACGCCACTCGATTCGCGTTTCCGCTCCGCCAAGAGAGCTGTCACTTGACGTCGCGGAATCCTTGCCGTGGGGGAGGGGAGCGAGGGGGAGGGGGGGGGGCGGGATCGATGTCCCACGAAGAAATCGAGAAACTGTCTGCGTACGTGTATATTGAACTGCAACCGAACACGGTGGACATTGATTTTCATTGTCTCGGCTAGGTTGATTTATTATGTGGGTTAATGGGATATTCGGGAAATTATGGAATTCGTTAGGCTATCTTAAGGAGGGAATTTAATCCGGGGATTAGGTGTCTAGGATCGGGGTGCACTTGGCGCGGGAACATCGCGATCGTTTATTCTATTATTTATGAACGGGGGAATTTATTACATTGTTTTATGACGATTTCATTTGAGCGTGGAATTTCTTATGGTTCAGGCTTACCGTGTAACGTGGAACGGTTATTCAGGGCAGATATACGGGAAAGTGATAAGAGCGACGCGCACTTGGCGCGGGACTCTACCGGTTGCCTTGATTACGCGCGCGGAGCGTCGATGAACTCTGCCGGTTCCACTGGTTTCTTTTCTTGCGTGAGTTAGTCATTCGCTGGCAAAGAGAACCTTGGAGAACGGGACGCGGGGGTCGACGAGATTATCGGAGAATTACGGAATTCGGAAAATTGTGGGGAGCCAGGCGATTTCTATTGTCTAGTTGGAAACGAGCCTATCGAAGTGTTTGATGATCCTGGGTTAACGTTACGTTTTGAGATTTATATATATATATATTTATTTATTAAAAAAAAAAGATATTAGCGTATCATAACTGTGTAATCATACTCGGCGTACTTGGCGCGGGACTCTATCGGTCCACTCGATTACAGGCAGCGTCGATAAACTCTCGCGTGTAGGCTCGACTCGTTTCTTTTTCTCCTCTTCCTTGAGTTTGTTGTTAAAGCCTATCTGAGAATTGTAGAATTTTGTCATTTCGTCAGTCCATAAACTCGAGGGATTCGGGGGAGTTTGAATTCCCGTGAGATTCCGTGAAAGTCGATATTTAATAAATCGAGGGGTTAACGATTACACTTTAAGAAGTTTTCCTGAAAAGGAGAAGAGTCGTAGGTGATGCTACCGCGTTAAGAAAAAAGAGAAAAAAAAATTACAATTATATAATACACTTTTGTCGGGAGCTTTATTCGGACAGGGTGCACTAATTTATATAAAGCATATCTGCGACGAATTTGTTTGGTACACATTAATTTGTACCGTGCAATTTCACAAAGGTGCAACGTGGCGTCGTCGAGTGAATGAGTCTACTTAGAAATTTCTAATAAACGTACGCTGGTTTACTTTGAGGACGTTAAATGTATGTATATGTTCTACCGTAACATTGTGTACTAAGGGCGCACTTTTGTGAATACTTTTAACGGGATTGGGTAAGGTACTTGGCGCGCTGGCTCTGCCGGATTTCTTTCGACCCGAGGGAAGTGTCGGTGAACCCGGCGCGGCAGGATGTCGCGTCCGATTGGTCGTTTCTTTTCCCCCGAGGGCTCCGATTGGTCGAAGACGAGTCCTTACGGCAAACAGATGGCCGAGGGTAATCGACGAGCCTACTCACGGCTCGGAGAGGATACGAATGAGTCAACGGCGAGAGTAAATGTCGAAAAACGGTCCGCGGGATGCCCGACATCCCATTAACCCCTTAGCGCACAGATATATAAAAAAAAAAACGACAAAAAAATCGCGGATTGTTTTTTTTTCCCCTTAATGTCCCTCGTGTGCGCATCTTTTATCGAGGGAACGAAACCGGGACGCTTCTCTCAAATGTTCTACGGTAATGACAACTTTACGAACAACTCGGGACGAGGTCAATTTATTTAGTGTGTTTCGTTTCCACATTTTGTATTTTGATAACGAGGCGAACGGGGGGAGGGGGGCACCAGGTCGGAGGAGGTCGGAAGGTGAAGGATGTCCTCGGGACCGTTTTGTCAAGATCGGAAGGCATACACTCGCGACTCGCCTCGCTCCTCCATAAGTGGCAGCAATCCTGGAAACGTGTAAAGAAAGGAAAAAAAAAGAAAAAAGAAAAAGAGGAAAAACTTTCGGTACGACGTAAACGTTCATTTTCCTCCTTTTGAGACCGAGTAACGAGGTGCCCCGGATCCGTTTCGCTCGTCATGGCTGCTCCACTCTTCCGGTACGATTTTTGTTCCATTAATTTCTTTTCTTTCTTTATTTTTTTTCCTTGTTCCTTCTTTCTTTTTTAATTCAACACACTTCCTTAGACACCTTAGGCACAAGGAGTGCGTAACGGTGCCGCGGATCGAGAAAATATACCCCGTCTTGTATAATGGACTCTTTATTATTTACCGTGAAGTGCATATTAAACGGGATTGCGGCTCTTACAAAGGGAAAAGAGGAATACCTCGTTCGAGGGACAGAGTATTAAACTCTCCGTGCCCGTTTTTCCCGTCCTCGCTTTTCTATTTCTCTTTCCCTCTATTTTAACGACCGGGTAAAACCCTATCGTGACGGACCGTTTCCACGTAGCGAGACTCGTACGAGGATATAAAAAAAAAAAGAAAAAAAGTAGAAAAACCACCCCCAGCAAAGGGCTGCATTTCCAATAAAAGTTTCCCCTCTTACTTTAGTCATAATTGCGGTGGCCTCGAAAATGTTTATCGTCACCGTTAAATCAAACCGAGCGACGTGGAATTTCATTGACGAGGAAGATTGCCGTTGGGGTAGGTCTCGGTACCTCGTATAATTGCACGGGGAGAAATAAGGAGAAAAACAAAATAAAGGAATGCCTTCCGCCAAATAGGAATTTTGCTGGCTGATTTTCAAGGGCCTGCCGACTGCTCAAACAATTAACAGCTTTTTATTACCGCCGTAAATTATTTCTCTGCTCGGCTCTCGTGCACGAGGCGCGTTACGGTGCGGCGCCTTCTAACGATCGAATCGTTAGTCGGTGCATATTAGTATCAATAATCGTAAACGTGGGCCGTTTGAAGAGCTGATAATCGCGTCTCTTACCCCAGTGAACCATTTAGATAGGCGCGCAATCGTTCGCCGGGACGACAAACAGAGTGGGAACTGAAAAGCAAAAAAAAAGAAAAAACGGAAACCGCGCGTCGAGCGCGCGGGATGCTGCGTCCCCGCGTCGCTGTGCAGCTGCAGCTACACTGACGACGCGGCGTTCCCGCGGATTCCTTCCCCGGATCGATAAAAAGCATACTCCTAATATAATAAAAAAAAAAATCGATGCAACCGTCCGTTTAGTCGGAAAATCGGGATGAATTCACTTCCTGTGGGGGGAAGTACAGAAATGAAACTCTGATGGTCGTGTGGGAAAAATGTCTTCTTCTTTTTTTTTTCTTTTCACCATTTGTCATGGCGGAATTTTGTATTTTTATTTTTCGCGAGGTACACGCGGGAAGGTCCGAAGGAGAGTATATGGATCTAGGATGTTAATGGATAGGAAATGCGAAGGAGGAAGCCGGTCGTTACGCCTATCCTTTTGTTAATTTCATCACGGGATTAGTAATTGCCGAATCTGGAGCACTTTAAGCTCGAGCTGTGTGATTTAGCGGCACTTTGGTCCATCGGATACCATCGACGTGACGGATCGTTCCAACGGGTCGTTTAAGCGAGGCAATGTTAACGGCGGCGCTTTTAGACGCTCGAAAATATAAGAGGAACTATGTCAAAGAGAGCGATTAGATATTAACAATTATTCGGAATTATTCCCAACCGCTACTTCACGAAATCCCCTCGCTCGTTCAACCCTAACTATGAGGCGTGACTATTGATGTTCCTCAATTGTATCTTTCTCATCTGACATTAAACTATAATAAAATTGGGCGAATTGGGTTGATATTAAAAAAGTAAAAAAAAAAAGGATAAATGGTAATTAATTCAAGGGGAAGAAAAAAGCGTTTTACTTTTTGGGCTCCTTTCATGGTATGCGAATTTATTCCTCCTTTCTTGTGATAAGAGAGTTTTACATCTCAAGGTTCCATTTTTGTCGGCCGCGGATGTTTATCTCGCAAAAAGGATTAAATTGAATTTCCCCCCCTCCCTCCCCAGATTGGACGCGCATTTCGGACGGACCCGGCATTGGATTACGATGAAAGAGTTCGCCGCGATAGCGGAATATCGATATATCGATGTCGATGCGCGCACTTTGTGTCGTCGATTGAGCTTTGCCGGCTGTGGAGCCGCTAGCCTTTTCCCTCTCGGACTTTATCGAGATACTCTTCCGGTGCTTTCGCAAACATATCCCCGATGAATTTGCAGCGTTACCTTTAAAGCCGCGTATCGCGATGTTATCGGCCCCGGTCTTATCGCGCGTACCCGGCGCGGAGCGAATTCAGGGCGCGCGATATTCTCCGAGGTTGCTCTAAAGGGACACTTTTCTTGTTTCTCTCTCTCTCTCTTTTTTTTTTCTTTTTTTATTTCCGCCGATGGCTTAACACAGCGACGTAATTTCAGCCGCCCGAGAAATCCCATGTCCCCCCGGATCGGTAATTCACAAAATTTAGCGGCGGTTACGTGATACGCCTTCCAAGAATATATATATATATCGAAAGAGGAAGCGAAGTGCTTATGACGTGTTTCGATAAAATTGGAGGAGGAAAACAAAAGTCCGACTGCTGATGCGTATTTAAGGGGACGCCGTGGCGTGCGATCCATTTATGGATAAATCATAAATTAAGGACGGTACTTAGCTTTTAGGATTAATAGAGGTGTCCTTAAGGCGTTACGAAAGGGTCATTCCATATGTATCGAAATGTCAATTTATAAAAAGCTTTCCTCCGAGCCGGGTGTACCGAATCCTTGGAAACTTCAGCACGTGACCGTGGAGGCCCCGAGGAAGAACGTGAA